CAACTTTTATCTTTGCCAGGCTTTCCCAGCGCCCGTGGTACCAGAATTCTAGAGCAGTGATTTGTCCCTCTGTTTTGTAAATAAACAAAGGGGACAGTAAAAATGGAGTCAGAAGTTTAGAAAATCATTTTTTCTCTAGAAATTTTTACGAAGAAAATCAGAATTATAAATTTTTTACTTATAAATTATAAGTCATAATATATATTTTTTGAATTAGTACAGTTTGTAGAAAATGACGACTCAGACTTAGTTTCATAGCAGATGCAACATGGTACGCTAAATTCAAAAAAATTATTGATCATAATTCTTAACCCTCCAACCGCTATAACTAGTGGTTCCCTTCCCAAAGAAATTTGCATAAATTGATCACGTGGCTTCCTTTGAAGAAATCCTCAATCGGATCTTTGGGCGTTCTTTGCGCGGAAGCTCCATTGTACCCGTTTTCTATAATTTTATTAACCACCGGTGATGACCGCAATTTACGGCGCCCCCTAACCCCGACCGTTGGAAATTTGAAGAGTTGTTTTCTGAGAAGGATTTTTGATCCCAGAGGAGTACCAAAGAAGGGATAGCTTGTCAAAACAAGTCAGCTCGTTGCATTTTGCGAAATTGTGAGAAGCGCAATTTACGAAGTGACACTCACGTGACATCGCGCCAACAGCGACTTTCCTATTTTTGTCAAAGATAATGGCAGATTATCGGCTCTGGAATGGACCCAGAATCTCAGGAATAGAACAACCGAGGAAACAATCATTGAATCAATTACTTGTTTACTTTCGCTCGAAAACCTGTGTGAAAAACCTGAGTCAGGATTCTTGAAGAGCCTTATCAGGGTGATACTCAAATTCTAGAGAAGACGCTTTGCGGCCTCATTATCAAAAAAGCCGCGCTGCGGCTTTTCATTGAACCTCTTCTTGGACCCTGACTCAGGTTTTTTACACAGGCCGGAAAGCCTCAATAAGCAACTTACATAGCTATTCTGAAATAAAGGAAACAAACAACGGTATTAAGGAATATCCGAATATTCAAGAAGCAACTATGGGGAAAGTGAAACTCAGTGAAGCGTCGATGGGAGGACGAAATAACGATTCCATGTTGAATTTAATCCATTCCTAAAAGCATCATGAGCGAGGTTGAGGTCTTCACTTTTTGTTTTAAATAGATTATTCAGTAGAATCTATTCACAAGAGCAAGAGAAATTTTAAGTTTTTAAATATTGTCCAAAAAATTGTATGTTAACCGTGGTTGACCGCGGTTAACCGAACGAAACCATTTTTTATTTCGAATATTCAATTATTATTTATGAAGATTTCCTAGTTTTTTTTATTTTAAAAATAATTTTTCTTTGAAAATTAAGACTCTCGGTTGCATGCTGCCCAGAAAACTGTTGTTTAAACTATCATCCTATCAACCTCAATTCGAGTCCGAGCCACTTGAGAACACAGCAGCATACAAGGCATGGAAGCTGATTTCTACAAAGATCAAGGTACGAGAATAAGGTCAAGGAAAACAGCTTGCAAGAATATTTATTCTAGCGATCCTACAGCTCTGAGCCTCAAGGAGTCATTGTTCAACCACAAGTAGCAGCTTCAGGAAGAGTTTTTGATCAAGAAAAAATCTTTCGATTAGCCAATCAGGAGCTTGATTGACAAGTCGTTATTCCGACTCCAACTTGTAAAACTCTCAAAAAGGATTCCAGATGCCGAGTAGCTTCCCGCCTTTTCCTCAATTTCCGGATATCGCAGGAATGGTTAAATAAAAGAAGAAAATCTCAGATTCTAAAAAGAATCAAAAGGCGGTCATCCATCTTGTCCGAAATCAGCAGCCAAGATGATTTTTTGAACACGTTATATTCGTTATGCAAACGAGCAGTTGTTAGAAGTTCTCTTCTTATTCCCTGCCTTCTGAATTTCGAATATTCACAATTGTGAATTTCAGATACGCGCCAGTCCGGGCCCAAAAGATTGTTGAATATTACGTCACGGAGATTTTAAGGGGGGGTGGACATCAATTATTAGCATTTTCTTTCGACTTTTTTATGAAGTTTACGGTTTGACACCCTTAATTTAGTTTAGGGTAAGGGATAAGGCAAGGCTTCAAAACTGTTTAATAAAAATTTAAGGGCAGTGGCTAGGGTTGAAAATTTTTTATCAAAATTTTTTTCAAAAGGGTTAGGGTTAAAATATTTCAAAAATTTTTATCAAAAATATTCAGTTTGCCTCTACTTTTTTTTGAAATTTACTTTGGGATACCCTTATTTTTTAAGTTCCTTATCATGATTAGGGTCGACGAGCAAAAAATCAACCCCTAAAACCCCTTCAGGTAACTGCCCGAAACTTTGGGACTATATGTATTTTAGCCCATCTTAAAAATTTGTAATAGAAATTTTTTTGGTATGATCACGTGATCACGTGATACGGACCCTCGAAAAGCTAGAAAAGCTTGCCAACCTTGATCCCCTGACCGCAGGTGATCGTTATGTAGCTCACATGAAAGAGCACAAAAAGTCCTTCCTAGAGAATCCAAAACATTTTTGGTGGCGAGATCACATGACTCGCTAGAGGGAAGTGAAGCGTCCAAAATGGCCCTTTTTGCAAGGTATATTGGCCTTAGTAACCCGTGAAACCTGAATTTTCAATAACAATTTTGTTAGTTGGGCCCAAATACATATTGTCCAAAAGTTTCAAGGCTTTACCACAAATGGTCCTTGGGGTTGAATTTTTGCTCGTCGGCCCTAATCATGATATCTTATCAATCGACAACTTTCGATGAAAGCGTTTTTCTAAAATTATATTTTCAAATTAAAATTACTCTCCGTTTCTAAGTTGTTTGCATGAACCATAATCTGGCGCTGATAATTTCCGTCAATGCGGAAATGCGCGCCACTCGACAACAAGCACTTTGACAATAAAAATATGCAAATCTGATCAAAGCGTAGACTCACACGATACAATAACTGACATATTTGAATATCTTAGACGAGTTTTGTTCACGAAACTATGAATATCGAGAGGCGGGTTAGGGCGACGCTGGTGGGATTTCTTATTCAAAAGGTTGAATAATTTCCGATCTATTGAATATCAATCCGACAGGTTGGATCAACTCAGAGTACTACCCTTATTTGGTACTTACCTAATGCAATAAGGTTTTTTATAAAATAATTTTAAATGAGTTTTTAATATTTCGGTTTCAGACACCATAAATATGGTTTCAAATTTTTCTCCCTAGTTTTTTCCCGAGTCTTCTAACATTGACATCTAAACTTTCTGGTTTTGAAGAAGTCTTTCTTATTGGGCCTCATTTTTACGTGAAAATCTTTTTGATTAAATCTGATTCGACCACCAGCCGAATGCGAAAATATGAGTGGAGGTGTCCGGAACCGATAAAAAAATTTCGACAAATTTTGCGTGGAAATTTTCAACCAATCAGAAACCTGGATTTGGCAAACCGGCCAATCAGCAGCCGAGTAGCCGCCCACGCAAAATTGTCGAAATTTTATGTCGGTTCCAGACACCATCCAAATTATGATTGGTCAAAATTATTTTTTAAATTTTAATCAAAAAATTATGTTTTTAATTAAAAAAAAAAAGTTCTATTCATTTTAAAAGGACAATATGGTACAAATATCAATAAAAAAGGCAAATTACTTTTGTCATCTAAAAAGTTGAAAATGTCTTCCAATTCGCCATGATTTCCCATAAAGAGTTGAAAATGCAGCGAGAAACGTCGTACGCGCATTTGTGTGATCTAAGATGAATGAAAATTCAGTTGATGGCGTTTTGAAGCGAAAATGATCTAAAGAAAATACACCAGGACGCTTCTTAGCCGGCCCGGTATATTTGAATATGCTGAATTCAGAAGGAGTCGACTCTGAATGCGGAAGCCAACGCTTCTTGCATCACCTAGTTTGCATAACGAATACAACGTGTTCAAGCCATTCACCACCTAATTCAAAAAATCTTTTCGCCAAAAATCGTCGAATTCAACAAACGTCTCAAATGCTTATCAGCAAGCGCAGCTTGGCGCTGCTCAAAATCTCTACAAAAACCCGCTGACTTTTACATTTTGAGGAGAATTTTTCTCCCAGAATTAGAACAAACTTTATAGTCTAGGGTTAGGGTTAGGCCCTTACCGTTAGGGTTAAGGATGTAAAGGAGAATTATCGACAAAAGAGACTAACAAAAATTTTGATAAATGGACAAGAGTATCACTTTATTAATGCGAAATCTGCAAAAATATGAAAATTTCGGCAATTCTTTATTCAAAAAATTAAAATATTAAAAGTCCAGTCTTCGAACTCCTATTCAATGAGGCCAAAGCATCAATTTTTTGATTAAAATTTTGATATTCTTAAATTTAGACATAAAAGAGAGCGATTTTTTTTCAATTGTTCCTGCGATTTTCTTGTAATTGAAGAATCATCGTCTATTGTCATCATTGATATCGTATCAATAAAAAGATATCGTCTTCTATTTTTCATTAATCTTGAAACCCGGCCTACCATTCTAGTATTTTATGTCCTCCCTAGCGCCCCGCCAAGCTTTCCTTATTGCCCGCTTCTTTCTCTAGCTTGATTCTCTCCTTTCTCGAGCAAAATAAAAACCGCGCCACCTGGCGTTGGCCCGGCGCCGTTCGCTACTCGCTGGGTGCTCTGGTGCTGGTGGTGGTGCTGCCACCAACCGGGCGCCTTGACGCATCATCATTCACGTCTCTGTATTCAACAGAATTCGCCCTAACGTATTAAATTCACTAGATTTTGAATATTTTTGCATTTGAAAGTGCGCCTCAGCCAATCACCACGGGCTGATATTCACTACGACTGTAACCACGTAACAGGTTCAATCAGCAGGTGGACTGGCAAATCAGCTGCAAAAGACGAGCTCAAGAAAGAGCCCGAAAAGGAAGCAGAGACCCTTAAGACTGAAATCAAACAAGAGATTGACGAGCAAGAGGATAAGAGAGCAGCCAAAAAGACTCTGGAGAAGACACAAATCGGCCAAATGGCCGCATCAGTCAGCTTTTATCCGGAAGAAGCCGGGTACAAGGCGGCTAATGTTCAGTACAGGAAGGGATTGAATTTTTTCTAATGATCAAAATTTTAAAAGAAGGTGTGGAAAGCCAAAATTGCGGCTTTTAAAAATTTTTTTTCTGAAATTTTGAAAGCCGCTCGAATTTTCGACACGAAAGTTTTTGCTTACAATTTTTAGCGATATCTTGTCTTTGAACTAAATTGGTGGAAAAAAGGCGAGCGCGGCTATTTTTCCTCAAAAAGCTCAGTATCTCAGTAAGGATTTGAAACGTCATATTCTTTCAAAATTTTCATCCCCATAAAAAGCAACGACACCGTCAACACCGCCCAGTACCGCAACTACTACACTCCTGGAAACATTTCCCCAGCCCATGTCGCGGCAACATCCCCTGTCACCGCTGCTCAAGCATCTTCCGTCATCAGCCAGGTCGAGCAAAGCCCTGTGACTGCTCAGTATCACACTGTAGCTGGGGCGTATCCATATTGGACTGGAACTCAGGTAAATATATTTTTACAATTAATGGCCCATGAAATCGCGTCAAAGTGTCTGTGTGACCTTCAGATGCGTCATTAGCTCGTAATTACTAATAATTTTCGACAGTATATATATGGGAACATTGTTTGCTGGCGCGGGAAGGGTTCCCAGGCGCGGCAGGAGAGAAAGATAATCGCGCTTGTACTTGGTGATAAGAAATTGGTCAGCGCTTCCGTCAGGAAATGTTGGCGCTTTGGTGTTTTTTCGGCGGTGCAAAGTTTTTCTGGAAGTTGGAAATGGAAAATTTATTTTGAAAAAGAGAGACCATAAAACTTAAAATTAGAACTTGAATTTATAGTTTACCCCGAGTTTTGAGATGAAGCTTAAAATCAAAGATTACTAAAGAATTACCCTCTCCAGATTTGTCAAATTCCGGAGTCTACTTTCGAATCTATCTCCTGATGTTGATAGTTCAAAATGGCTCCAAGTAAAAAAATAGCAAAATACCTGCCTCATGTCCATAGTGCACATATCTCAGCAGGCAAAAATCCCCCGTTACAAATCACCCCTTTCCGGCCTTCCTAGTCCGAGTTCTGCAAGTTCGCGCAGTTTGTAATTTTCGCTATCTCGACTGGTCTGGTACTCGCGGGCGGATAAAATTAAAGATTTCCGCTAACCAAGTGCCCGTCGTGGTGTGAAAATCGGAAGTGCCTAATGGATGCTAATCGGATGTTTAGCAAAGAGCCTCAGCGCGCCCTACCAACAACACCACATGCACGCCCGCTTAGCTCAGGATCAGCTGGATACACGAACATTTGCGAATCGTGATTTATTAAAAATCAACTTCTAGTACTTTTTGGCCAAAATTAGTAAAATTAATCATCGAGTCGAAAATTTAGAAAAATAAAAAAAATTGACTATTTTTTTTCATTTTGAAAGTCAATGATTTATTTTACCATCCTCCCAAACCCAAGGAACAACTCTAAAGAAAGTTCTAGAGTGGGATACAAATGGGCACCTGATTTTGATTGATGTAAAAAATCTTGAAGCGAAGGACCTTCTTACATCATCAAAACTTCGAGTTATTCATTATTTTTTAGGAAAAAACGAATTCCTCTGGCATTGGCTCGAGCACTTCCTCCCTCTCCCAGACGCCTCCCGACAACGCTTCCCAAGCCGCATATCTGCCCAAAACGGAGCCCAAAGTGGAAGCAGATGAGACGACCATCCGCTCCGAGCTCACTCCTGCTCAGCCTGAGCTCAGCTCATCCCCATCTGCGCTGCCTGTTTCTAGCTCTGCCATTTCCACTCCACAACTACCCAGCGCCTCCCCAGTGTTGACCCCTATTGACCCAACTGGTCATAATCCTCCAATGAGCTCATCGGTAAGTTTTCGAGAAAAGTGACGATCGGAGCACTCACAGTAGATAAGCAATCGATCAAGTTTGTTCGGTCAGTAACTTGGAATATTTGTAGATAACGACCTCCACCTTATCAAGTTATACACCGACTACTGCCCAGTCAATCTCTGCCTGGAATTATCCCTACCCTTCTTCTTCAAGTATTTACTCCGGTCTTGATCCTTCTAGGTACGACTTTCCTCTTCCTTCTCATTTTTATCCCTTTTCTAGAGCTGCCGCTGCTGCTTCTCTTTCGTACCCAGGTTTTTCCTCCGCCGCCGCTGCTTCTGCCCATGGAGCTTCAACAGTCTCCGCTACCGATCCTCATAGTTTTCTTTCTTCCCTTCATCCCTTTGGCCCTGGCCATCCGGGTACCCATCCATCCGTCCTACCGTATTACCAGCAGCATGCGTATCAGTATGCAGATCAATATGCCCAGTATGGAGTTCACCCAGAAGATCATATGACGAATCCGGAAAGTGATCAACAATCTTTTATTAAAAAATTAAGGGGGTAGATATTGTTAACAACAAATTTAAGTCGACTTTTTTCTGAAAAATTATCATAGCGACACCCTTAACTTTCAATACCAAAAGTTTTTTGAGCCTTTTTTGAAGTTTTCTTATGTCTTTACCATAAGAAAGTGATACCCTTAGCTCATTGTTGATCGCTAAAAGAAGACAAGTGACGACCTCGAGGGCTTTGCCCGCGATTTCAAGCAGCGCCGAATCAAGCTTGGCTACACTCAGGTAAACCATCATAAAAACCAATTGATCATAATAAGTAAAAAGACCTTTCGTGTGTTTATGGGGCGATTTTATCAAAAATTCAGCGAGCAATCATTTTGTTTACTCACTAAAATGTCAAAATGCAAATTCCGCTCTCCGCGCTCTTTAAAACATCCTTCTTTTTTTAACTCGGTTGGGACTTTTTCTTTTGGACTCCAAAAAACAATACCGGAGGATTTTGAATATCGGAGCTTCGAATATCCAGACGATAAGATTTGAGAAAGCACAAAAAAGATCGGGTCGGTGGGGGCGACCACCTCTGGAGTATAATGCGGAATCGCGCTGCGGCTGAGCGCAATAAAGGAAAATCCCGACCGAGCCCTGCCGAACCGAGTGGTCAGAGTTGAAAGAGGCGGTTTTTATTGTGGCCTTGCATTTTTGTACAGAAAAACGTAAAATGTTCAAGCTAGATGAATCGAGTGATAAAGGAGTAAATAAGCTTTCGAGTGATACTTAAAAATTTAATCCACAATTTTACACCTGCCCTTCCTATTATGGTCTTCGAATCATTATCTTTTTACTGTTTTTTTTTTGGCCGCTGTCTTATTTATTGTTCTAGGCTGATGTTGGACTTGCCCTTGGAACCCTCTACGGAAATGTCTTCTCCCAAACAACCATTTGCCGATTCGAAGCCCTCCAACTTTCCTTCAAGAACATGTGCAAACTAAAACCTCTCCTGCAGAAGTGGCTTCAGTTCGCTGTCAAAGGTAGTGAGTTACCGTTTTCCAAGGCAGTTTTTGACGCTTCATTAGATCAATCGAATGGCTTCTCGGCGCTAGAAAAGGCCGCAAACACTGGAAGAAAGCGAAAGAAGAGACCGAGTCACGAGGTAAGAGGAGTTGAAAGACTCCTTAGTAGCGCTCTAGGCGGGGTATTCGCTTTTTTTAATGAAGAGTAGATTTTAAGCTTTTAACCAAATAATTGGCTATTTTGTTGAAAAAGGTTAAAAGACTCTTTTTTATTTTGAACCCTTGATTTTCGCTCTCTGAAATTAGAAATAGGGAATTTTGAAGCAAGACTCGGATTTTTAATTAAATTTCTGAATTTGGCCATTGTTCTCTTTTTTGCCGGGCAGAACTTTTTTCTGCGAGAAGTGGCGCTTTTTCTCAAATTGAGTGAGTGGGGCTGCTGCATAAGCCTGAATTACGGTGCGCCCAGAATGCACGCGAGTCCTCGCTGGTGAGATTTTTCGCGAATTTCGATAAGGCCTGATTGATTGAATAAAAGTTGTACTCACTTCTTCTTGTGAAGTAATCACTAGGAAAGATGACGAGAAAAAGAGGGACAGAAAAATTTATGGTCCAAGTGGGATTGGTTTCCTTTGCGGGAATTCCATCTTATTCCAACCTTTCCGAAATATTCAAGAGCCCAGGAGAGTGCGCAGAGATTGGTGATAAGGGCATCCCGCACAGTAAATTCCTGAGCATCTTGTTTTGCTATTTATCAGCCCCGAAGAGACTGTCCCTCACGACATCGAATTCTAGAGCATCGACTAAAGGAAACCCTAAGTCGTTTATAAAAAATTTATTTGTACTTCTAACCTAATTCTAGAGTTGATTTTGATTCGTCAAAGCGCGTATTTTTTAAATTCCTTGTTGTCATAAATATCTTATTGATAGAAGATCACTTGTTTAAATTTCGGTCAGGGAGGTCCTTAATCGTTTCTGATGGTGCTGAATTTCGCTCTTGTCGCATCCCTTGTTACATTTTTCCAACAAGTTTGTGACAACATGTCAACATTGTCCGCCGCTAGAGCTGCGACTCGTGAATTCAGAGCAGGCGTTGTAGACTCTAAGGGCTTCAGAGAGTTAGTGTCCTACTTCATGTAGAAGATACCCTTAGAACGATATTCAAAACAAATTTTCACGAGTTAAGGGGATGAGGCTGGGTGCACCTGCTCGCAGGGTGTGCTCAACCTTGACACTCTTAATGGTTTTGAATTATCTGCGCGCGGATTCAGCCAAAACATCCGCTCGGTGTCAATTCTCTGCGAGCCGGGGTGGCAACTGCTGTATAATCCTGAATTTCGGATTTGGTTTAGTTTGCTCCACCTTCCTACTCCAGACTCGCCGTGAAGCGATAACTTACCATTTTTAAGGGTATTCACATCCGAAAATCTTATTTTTGAAAATAAAAAATTGATAGCTAACAAAGGGATCCCCTTATTGAAAATATGACCCAATAATTTTTTAATTTAAAAAAAAAATTTTAAGAAAAATTAGCGTTAGAGTCAATATTTTTTAATGTATTGGGGAGTAGCGCGTCTAATTTCACCCTCTCTCTACCCTAACCAGAGTCTAGATGAGCCCGAGTATGGCAAGCGTCCCGTGGCAGACCAGCCACAGTGCATCGTCGGTGATTACTACGGAGGAGCCGAAGAGGAAGATTACTAAAAGCGAAGATCCCTACTCTTAAAAATAACTCCTTCTCTAATGTAAAATCTGCTTTATTCTGGCAAGTCTTATTCTCACAACACAAATTTCTTTCTTGATATCTGATTTTCATCCTCTTTTTTTATCTTATTCTGTGCATAAAAATATTAAGTGTAAAGATTCTTCAACAATAAATTTTCGTGTATATGGTTCACAAGGCGTTTCACTTCTTTGTTAAAGTAAATAAAATGTCCACAAAAAAGCGAGAATAATATGCAACACACAACGATCTCTACCCTTTTACCGTGAAAGTTTGACCCTTTTCTATCTAAAAATGGCCTGCAAGAGAGGTCTATGTTCGGCATTTCTCGATTATTTAGCGTGTTTTATTATAACGCCTCCATGGATCGCTTGTTTGACAGTCTACGCAATTCTACAACCACTTTTTCTTCTCATTGCGAAAAATTTATTTTGCTGCACTTGGCTGTGCGACGATTGCTACTCACCATTTGATTGTTTAAACGACTGCGTTATCATCTTTAAGGAAGGTCTATTTTTACTATCGCCGTTTTTCTGCTGTGAAGATTCCTGTAAAGTTGAAACAGATGATGAAACACCGAATCACTCAGAAGTAATCACAGAGCAACCATTTTCGTCTATGGGTCCGTCTGCTCCAACGCATCTCGAAATAATAAACGAGGAAAAATTTGAAAACGAAGCGCCACCAGCGTATGAGGACTTATTTGAAGAATAATTCAAAGAATAAACCTGACTCAAGATCAAATATTTTAACCTGGATCGAAGCGGGGAGGAGAGAAGCAGCACTAAGATCGTCAGGGGTTTCGGGAAAAAGAATCAAACAAATTTTTCGAGAAAAAACAATAAGAAGCAATTTATTACAAAATTTTTGGTATAAAAAGTGCAATTTTTTATAAGTCGATATCAACTTGAGGTTCTTCCGAGCAAAAGCATCCTTTGGCATATTCAAGCTTTGGCTTTTTCTCAGCCTTTTAAGTTCGAAATTTGTTCATATTTAATGACTGATAAGCCAGAAATAAAAAAAAATTGAACTATTCCTTGATTTCGATTTGAAATTTCACTTTCCAGAAGCCAGTTTTTTCAATCGACGCCAAATCTCCGTTTGTAAAATCGATTTTGACAATGTTCTCGTTGTTGATTTCAGTGTGATTCACGGACTTCACCGGGAAAGACCATTGGATCGCTTCTTTGATTGGAGTCGACAGACCAAGCTCGAAGAAGTCCGAAGAGTCGAAGGAACTTGGCGGGACGAGATCTGCCTCAATCATGTAGCAAGTATCACAGCTCCAGGTTCTGTAGATCTCTGAAAAAAAAGATGAGAGTTTCCTCGCTTGTGTTACTGACCGATATTGTTCCAAATATCAAAGCACCCTGGTGGCTTTTGGTCACAAGTAAGCGGCTCCTCTAGAATTCGCATTTCTTCACGGGCTTTGCACTGGACTTTTTTGGTTTCAAATTTGTGATTTTCACAAAAAAAATCATAAGAAAGAAAATAAGATTTCCGCCAAATTGATTTTCAAACAAAGGAAACCAAGCTTTGGTCAATCTCAGCGGTTTATTCTTCCTCTTCCCACTGAACCATCTGCAGCCAAGTTTCTTCGTACAAACACATCTCAACTCTCCCTTCTTCAGTCCCTTCAGCGCATCAGCTCCGTCGGTACATCTCACCTTACAAACGCGCTGGTTCTTGTCTTTCTCGACGAAGCAGAAGTCCCGAAGATTGAAGTCGCTGAAAACTGGCGGCACGCAACTTCCACAGCCGCGAATAGTATTGGTCCAAATTGGCTTTGATTTTCTAGAGCTGATGCAGTTCGTCCTCGCTTCTCCGATTGGCTGAAATCCCGGGCGACACTTGATGGCGCAGGAGGCCCCATCGCATTCGTAACCGGTCGAGTCTTTGAATTCCGGAAGAGCTGGGCATTTCTGGTGCGGCAAAAATTTACCGCCGACCGGAGCTCCCCAGGATTTTTTAAACTGCGATCTGGCTTGTAAATCAGTCGTTTCTGGTCGATAAATGATCTCTTGAAGCTCTCTCCAGGTCAGTTTTCTCCCACCAGGCCAGTTGATCCCGGAAACACTTGCGCTTAGAAAAAATATTTCAAAAAGCTTCATTGACAATGAATCATTGTCCACTTTTTTTCTTGATGATTGAATAAATTCGAATTTCTGAAGGAGGCGAAAAAATTATGGAAAATTTCATAGCTGTCAAGTGGCGCGGCGGATTGCCATGGGGTGAGCTTTTAGAAAAAGGTTGAATTTGCATTTTTATGAAGAAAAAACGTGTTCTTGTGGTGTCTTTTTATAGGGATTTTGCGTCATCAATTCAAATTGAGTTTTTTGTGTCGATTTTTATGCAAGTTTTTTGAAATTAATACGCAAGAAAGTATTTTTAAATAAGGTTTATTAAATAAATAGGAGAAAAATCATAGCACATAAGGAGAAATACAGTCAGAGATTCATTCAGGGGCGTCTGTATCGAATGAGCTCCCGAATATTGCTCGTCAATCGTCTTCTTGTGACTCGTCGTTGGTATTTTTCTGCATCGAATGAAAGAACTGAGCGTCTGGAAGCTCTGTTGTTGACCCGTCGTTGAAGCTCTTTTCTGATTTGCGAGTGTCCGTCAAACTCGCGACGCCAGGCTTGGACGGATGAAGAGAAGATGAAGAGGAGCATAAGCACTTTTCCGAGCATCTTCTTTTTAATTATTTTTTTTTAAATAGGGAGAGTGTTTGTCGTTTCTTGGGACTGGAGATGTGTCGTTTGAACTTTAGAAAGCGACTTGTTTTATAGTAACTTGTCGAGTGAGGGCGATAGAGAGAGGATTTCATGGAAGATGAAATGAGAGTTCGCTTCCAGTTTGGATTACAAACTCGGAAACGGGTGGCAGCGTGAATTCTCGATAACACACTCATAAGTTCACTTCGGGGTCGAATATTATTCAAAGCTGATTTCAGTTGAAAATTATCTACCGCCAGTTTACTTTGAAAACCAAAATTGAGGTGGCAAAAGTTTGAGTTTCTTGTCTTAAAAAATAAACTTTATAATAACGATTATAAAGTCAATGATAAAAATAGACAGGAAGCAAAAAAATAGCCGCATAAAAATTCATTTCCGCCTGAAAACGCATATAATCAAGCAACGGACGTCCATCTCCAGAGTCTAAAAATGACAGCTTTGAAAGCTTTTATCGAAAACCTCCGTCCTGAACAACAAGAGAGGCTTGGAGAAATTTTCAACGATCTTCACGAATTCAACGGAAATCTCGATGAAAGCCAGCAGAACTTCTTGCAGCAGGAAAACTTGGACAGTCTTGCTAAAGATATCTTGAGAGGTGATGCCGCAGCTGTCTATTTTGGCAAAAAGCACGGCGAAAAGATTGAGGAAGAAGATGCCGCTGACTGGCGCCGACCCATTAACCATGACCCACATCCTTTTTACGGACGCGACTACCACAATGGAGCCTGGTTGAGATAGAAGATATGTCAGTAGCCTTTAATCTGGATACAAAGAATATTCTACAAATGCGATTTATTTTTACTGTTATTTGTAAAGCAATAATAAATTGAACTATAAATCGTTGTCAATCATGAATTATAGATTTTTAAGCTTTTCTCACGCATTCCAAAAGGATGATGAAAGACTGAAATAAGACCTTTTGATTGTGAAGATATACAATAATCGCCAGTGACTTCACCGAGCGAGCCAATTAACTCCACCAATTTTCGAATTTTCTTCGTGACCTCACGAATCCACTGAATTATGAACCAGAGAATACTGATGCTTTGTCTTTGTCGTAAATTGAGCTGGATCGTAGAATTAGGAGGGAGATGGAAAAGAGACATGAGTCGACGCTAAAATAGACGTCAATAAGCGCACATGAAAAACGACGGGTCGAGCAGTCAGCCGTACGAGGGGATCAAATGGTAAACGATGGAAAATTACATCAGGTTACAGTAAGAATCAGCTTCCCTTTGCCACGTTGCTTATTGAAAGAAAGAATTTTTGTTGAATTCTTTTATTGATTTTCAAAGCATAAAAAACAGGTAATAAGTGACAGAAATAAAATGAGTAACAGTAACTCTTCATAAATAATAGAAGTTTTTCATCCGAAGTAGGCGTAATTTCCGGCAGTTCGGTAGTTTGGTTGTTGATAGATAACCACTGGCTGTTCTGGGTGAGCTGGCTGGACAATCTGTTCCGGGAGGGTGACAGTAGCCGCGTTGCATCCACCGTTGTTGCCAGCTCCGAACATCATCATGTAGAAAATGAGGCTCTCGTTGTCTCCACTGTCGTCCATTAGCATCAAAGGAAGAAGCATGTTGCTGCCCATTCCAGTTCCGGGGGCGGCGCTCTGCATTGCCATCATCAACACAAGAAGGGAGCTGCTGTCGCTATCGCTAGAAGTGTCGTTCATGAGAAGAAGGGGGAGGAGCAAGTTGAAGGAGTTGTCGAAGCCGCTCTGGGTGTTCATGCCGCCGGACATGGAGCTAAGAAGAACCATCATCAGAACATCGTCGAGGCCGTCATCAGTCGATCGTCGCTTTCGGCTGGAGCCGTCGGAGAACAAATCGAGCATCAGAAGAGTCTCGAAGCTGAATCCCTCGCCGCCGCTCATGGTGGAGAAAAGAAGCATTGTCATGAGCGAATCAGAGCTTGATCCAAGCGAGCTGCCATCATCAGCGAAGAGAAGCAGCGGAAGGAGATTGGTCATGGCGTCGTTGGTGTTGACATTGCAGTCGCCTTGCATTGTTGAAAGAAGCAGAAAAGTAGAGAGCATGTCGGTATCGCCAGAATCGTCGGAGAGGAGCAAAAGCGGGAGGAGCTGATTCATGTCGTTTGTTCCGCCGGACATCATTGTCAGCATGAGGAGATCAGTGTTGTCACTTGTACTGTTGTTGTCGCTGAGAAGGAGGAGGGGAAGGAGAGTGTTCATCTGGGATGTCTGGGATTGGGAACCAGAATTGCCATTGAGGAGGCTGAAGAGGAGGAAGTCCTCAATTGCGAAGGAAAAGGTAAAGAAGAGACTGAAGATCTTCATCTTGGAAGCTTTGGTTGTTTTCTTAGTATTCTCTTATTGAAAAGTTGGTTGATGAAGAAGAGGAGAATATGATTTGATGACCTCTCTGGAATCGAAGTGAGTTTTATCATGTTCAAGGCCACCAAGCGGAGGAAGTGACTGTAACGATCGACCAGTCAATCAGAACTGGGGCAGATAACGAGCAGGTGCACTCGACTTTCACGCTCTATTTCAGCTCCTACAGTTCCTGTAGTTCAAACCAAGATTGTACGAAAGATCTACCGTAGTTACTGCTCCTTCTCAAAATTCGTGGATAGATTTGAATCTCCGAGAGAACCCATGGTGACGTTCAGTAATACTGTACCTCCGTTCATCGATACATAAAAACATCCGTCTCCAGCGTGCCAAACGATACCAGTAGTCGATCATTAAAATATCGTTTCCGATAGTTCATTTTTGAATTCGATGACGCTTCAACTAATTTTAAGACGGGAAGAATTTAAAGAATCTAAAGAGAATCTGAAGAACGATCGCCCCTTTCGATTTTACCTTTGAACCGACCGGTTCTAACAGTACAAAACCGTCAAATTCGAATCGAATCGCTTTGACAGCCGCTGCCAAATCTGACTCCTTTCGAGAATCGTGGCGCGCGAAGATAAATTCGCGTGGGTGGCCACGAAAAAGATAGAGTAAATTTCAAAGATAAAAATTGCGCTCTTTTATGATCGGAAAAGAGAAATTATCGAATGGATAAACCAAGAAGACGGAAAAGCAATGAGAAAAAGGTGTTTTTAGGAAAGGTCTCTCAAGCTCGAATTTTCAGACTTTTTGAAAAGAAGATTTTTTTACGGCTTTACAAAAGAAAAGATCATTGAAAAATTTATGATGCATTTTTACCGTAAAAATCTGTGGCAATAGTAATTGAGTAGAATTTATTGTTTTCTAGGCAAACAAGGCGTTTTTTACAATTGTCAATTTGAATTTTGAACGATGGTAAACAAAAAGTAAAGCTATCAAAAAGAGTGAAAAGAAGAAGTGGAAAATGAGAGATCCTAAATTGATAGCATTTTGCGGATTCGTGATTTTTGTGTTTATTGGATATTCGTATCTTTATTATGAAGTTGCTTGTGACTCTACTGCTTGTAAATTGAGGTAAAAAATTGGGCATCCTTAGGCCTACGCAGGTTTCAGAAACCTGCGTAGAAACCTGAGTCAGGGTTTTGGAAAAGCTCGGATAAATAGCCGCAGAATGAGCAAAAAAGCCGCAAATAGGGTCGCGGTTTTTCGTTAAATCTGTTTGAGGACCCTGAGTCAGGTTTCTACACAGGCGATCGAGTCCTGATTTTTATCAAAATCCCTTCAAAATCAACCAAACCCTTACAGCTTTTTAGCTGTGGAAACATCCATCTTCAGCCGATTATCCAAGACCTTTCCCACGATAATGGCAAGACAGTGAATCGAATATTCGTCAACGGAGAAACCTTCATTGTCAAATCTTCCTTTTCTTCACGCCCAGATCCGCTAAAACGAGAGAAATTAAAAAGAGAGCTGGAGATATTGGAGAAACAGATCTTGTATGGACAACCAGAGGTGCTAAATACTTGTTTCAAGGGAGAAGAACTTCTTTATGTTTTATCCGATGTCGGTGGAGATCCAGGTAAGAGTAGGGGAAAAATGTAGAAGGGAGAAATGTCTTCAAGAAAGCTGCAAGCGGCTTTCGATTGGAGAGAAAGGCCGAAATAATTCATCTTTTCAGTCTGCAGCGACGAATTCGGAACCAACGACGAGTGTTTCCGCCTCGAAGAGCTACAAGAAGCGCTCGTTTCGGAGGTCAAAGTCCACGACGACGAGGTAGAACGCAACATCTGGCGCTCGATCCAGTCCTTTGCCGAGCTCTTTCTCCAACTTGAAGACAACAATCTGTACATTGACGACATTTCTGGCTCGAATTTCGTGTTGAACGAGAACTACCAAGCGCATCTGGTCGATTTGGACTCGTTGCAAGAAGAATTCGAGCAAAGGAAATGCGAAAAACACAGCGATTGCGTTTCCAGCAGCGATTATCATTCAAAAGTAAGCTCAATCACGTCCCTTTTTTGCTAAATTTCTTGTAAAGAACTCGTTGTTTTACAAAATCCATCAATCCTGCGACGAGTTCGAGAATCGCTGCCAGCAAAATCTTTGCACGAAAAACGCGGCTTTGCATACATGCGGCTTTGGAAACTGGATTTTGACCGGACTGTCCAATATCGGAGAAGAGCTCGACTTCTTTGACGAACTAAAGGTATCTGAGATACCGTATCTCTTCCCTCTTTGATTTGCTCATAGAACTTTTGAAGAAGCCGCTTGCGGCTTTTCAATCAAATAAGACGACAGGAAAGCCGCACGGGGCTTTTTTCGAATATAAGCCAATGTCCTCCCAGTTGAAAGCCAAAATTCACAAATTTTCTATGTTTTTCTTTCAGGAAATCCGATCATGTTCTACCGCTGCTCTTGCCGATCGCTGTTCCTTCGAAGACATAAAATTTACTACCCAGGATGTTCTCAAACAAATATAGATAAATATTATTTATTCACAGAAAATACGAAACGCGTTAAAAATCACTGTACTTTTCAAGCTTGCAAAATTGGAAATTCTAAAAAATATGAAAAAGAAAGGGTTGAAGGCAGCGGCATATTTAGTTATGTAACAAAAACGATTCTAGAGTCGATTTTCTAGTCGGCTTTTACTCGGAATTGATCGGCAGTCGTGAAAACATATTGCTGGCCGTTTTTCATGAAGAGTTCTCTGAAAAAAAAACGCTAGAAAGTAATTTAAAATGATGACGGTACCTCTTTTTGACTGTTTCATCGACCTTTTTGATCGCGTGGGAAGTAACTACAGTCATCTGTAAATGCTCAGACGGAAGTTTTTTCGACTTTTCCGGGTCTTTTAGATACGAATCTGGCATTTCTGGCAGCTGGTGATGCTCGTAAAAAGCCTTAAAATTCTTAAGGGGGTGCAATAATAGATGGTAAAATATAAAAACTGCGTTTCACATTTGAATAACTTCGAAAAAGCCGCAAGCGGCTTTTCCCTCGAGAATATAGATCATTTCAAGCCCAAATTCATCAGTATTACCTGCATCTCTCTGATTCCCTTGTCGAGTCCAGGAATCTTGTCGGCCGGCCAAATATCGCCGAGATCAGTTTTCTTTCTGTGGAATTTCACTTCCTGCTTCAGAAGGCAATCGAGACGATGCTCCGCGTCGTCAAGTGGAATTTTGAAATGCTCGCGGTACCAGTCGACGACTTTCCGCATTTCTTTCACAAGATTTTCCTTAACAATTATTCTTATTCTTATGTTATTGCCCGAAAATGTTAAGTCAAATAAAAGCGTAAAAGAGCCGCGTGCGGCTATTAAATACATTTTTGGTTACTTTGAGGGAGTAGAAAAAGCCGCAAGCGGCTTTAAAGCGATCTTTCTCTCAAAAGTTCATTTTTCTATTCAATTCTACCTTCATATCCTCGTAGTAAATGATCAGCATCGGAATTTTCGCCTTTTCAGCAAACATCGGAAACCAAACAGCGCTTCCGAACCAGCGATGCATGTGCTGGTCGATGAATTTTCGCCAAATCTCGTTTTCGAAATCTTTCTTTTCCAAATTGCCAGTATGCGAGCCCGACATTTGGCGTTTATAATCAGCAAGAGTCGCGTCGTAGGGATTTCGCAGGACCATGATGATGCCTTTTCAAGGGGTAAGGGTTATTCTCTCGGGTAAAAATCGATGAAAACGTCGAAAGAAGCCGCTCGCGGCTTTCGAGCAAAATAGAATTGATTAACTTTCGCCCCTTTCCTTCTGCACTTTCGTACTCTTTCTGTCCGTGATTCTTCACCGCAATAGTTCGTCCACTCCTGGTGTGTTCCATCTCGCCTTTGAGTCCATTGCGCGTCATTTCCATTTCGTAGTAAACTGAGCCAGTGTAGAAGCCAGTCGTATCCTCGAGAACCTGACGGGCCCACGTGTTGCCCGAACCAGGAAACGAGCTCAAAAATACCACGGGAAATTGGCCGAAGTCACCCAAGGCGACTTTTCGGTTACAGCTAAAATTCAGCTTTCAAAAAGGATAAATCCCTTTCGAATTTTACCTTGAATCGTGAACATGACTGACTGCATATTGAAACTTTGGATTTTCAAGTTCTTCTGTGTTAAAAATGTAGGTTCCAAGAAGCGTCAAAAGAAAAATCAAAATATAATTCGTAAAAGCTCCCATGATCGTTGAAAAACTCATTTATCCATCTTCTCTCCAACTTCTTTTCTCTTTTTATGCGGTTTGATGGGTAATTACACGATTCTAGCGCAAATTTTCAAAAATGGGTTGTCCTAGTCTTATCAATGGAACGAGCCCTGCCGCGGGCCATTTCACTGCCGGAATGCTTCTTGTCTTGACCTTAGCGAGGTCAATTTTTGTGTTTTCAGATGCAAATGCGGCTTTCAAGCAGATATTTTGCTAAAAGAAATCTCCGAGAACTTGAAGAGACTCTAAAAATCACCCTTGATCATCAAAAATCCTCTTTCTTCAAAACAACTGCTTTATAATCACCCTCATTCGCGTCATAAGAAGCTTCATCATGATTTTTCCGCTGTATCTACCTATTTAAACTGCGGTTTCGCAGCTTCATTCTTCATTTTCAATTCAAAAAGGGGAAAATTTTCGATTTTCAGATGAGCCGGAATTTCGGACGCAGAAGTGGGAGAAAGAGCAGGGGCGGTTACGAAAATTTCAAGCCGACAAAAGAAGAAGTCGTGAATTGGTTGGAAGGAGTTCTGAAGCCAGCTGATATCCCAAGTGCTGTGGAGGCTTACGCTGGGAATCCGCCGAAAGGGTTCAAGATCAAGGAGCTGCGAATTCTAGCAGATTTCGGTGAGAAACAAATGTATCAAAAATGGCCAAAACTAAGCTAAAAATGACTAAAATTTGATTTTTTATACTTCAAAATTGACTAAAAAGGACGAAAAAATTGTCTAAAAAGACCAAAATTGCTTTAAAAAATTCCTTCTAGAATCTCTTTCGAAAAGTGATTTCTAGAAGCATTCTCAGCTTTTTGGTGGCCTTTTTCGAAATTGAAATCTAGAGAGAAAAGAACTCTTTTGTTTAGCGGGAAATCCGATTCTTCGAGATTTCCTTGCCAAGCGTTATCCACGAGACGGATCTGCACCAGTTGATTGGCAGCCGCCGCCGCCCGAGCCAGAGCCGAAAAGTGAAGAAGAGAAACGGCAGCTTCGCTACAAAGAGGACTGCCAGAACACGCAACACGCTATCCGACTGAACAAGTACTTCCCGCCGGGCCCTTTTTCTGGTCCAGAGAGAAATTTTAACGACAGGACGATGTCACGTGCTCACAGCTCGCCGCTGAAAGAGAATCCGAATCGCGCTAATTCTGAACAGAATCAGCAGACTTTAGAGAAGGAAAGGGTTTGAAAATTGATTTGGTAAAGAATCTATTAATATTTATCTCTAGAAGAAAAATTTTCTTCTTTCTTAAATCATTCTAGATGATTTCATCTCGAAAATTCGTTGATATTGTTGACGAAATTTCACTTGCTTCTTTGCAGAGATTATAATGTTAACTCCAACGCGTAGACGAAATTCTAGAGCTCGTTCTTGCAGTAGAAACAGAGGAGATCGTTCTTGGGTTCCGTCCACCGATTTCTTAACCGTCCTAAGCCCATATTCAAACCCGACAAAGAAAGAGAACGAAGATACAGGAATCTTCCTGGACATCAAGCAAGACAACTCCAAAGCCTTCCTCGATCGTCTCAATTCAGGCGAGCTTGATTGCAACTACATTCTTCCAGCAGTAAAGAAAAGAAATTCTTCTGAGAAAAAACCCTTCACCCTTCTGGAATGCGCGATCCACTACAACGCATTCAACTGTGCGCTGATTCTCTCCATGCAGCCTGCTCTTGACCTTACTCTCAGAGGGAGGAATAGTTACGAGTTACCAGCGACAAGAGCCTTTGCTGGCCTCGATGTCTCCATCGGCAAGATCCTTCTTGACAACGGTGCGAAGGAAAAAGGAGCGATTCGCGACGACCTCCTCGGCTATGTCTTCTTCAAATACACGACCAGGGACAAGAATAATAGAAAGGCGAAAGAGTTTCTTGAGACAGTGCAGTTTCTGTTGAAGAAGGAGTTCCGATTGAGGAAGGAGGATATTTGGAAAATCTGGGAGAAGCTCGAGAGTTTGATCAAAGAGGCCAACGAAACGATCGATGCGTTGGTGGAAATTCTTGATGCTCATCGGTAAGTGACGACTCGTAGCGAATACGAAGTCAAATTCAAGTGTCAGTTGTCTATTTACTCATTCTTTATTTTAAGTTCTGAGATCAACGTTCAAATCCAGCGCAAAGAAATCTGCAAGACGGAGAATCTTCTCAACGGATACATGGGACTAACCGACCCAGAACAGCGAGAAAATGCACGACGGATAATCTCTTCGATCGTCACCGCAGATTGGAATACATCCTTGAACAACATCAGCTTTGTATTGCAATGCCCTCGACTAGTGGACTTCCTTCCTGCGTTTCTGGTCAAATTTGAAAGCGGCGAGTACCCAATTGAGAAGCGTTTGATGACGGATGTGTTTGGAAAGTTTGCGCGCGATTTTGTCAACCCAGGGGACGATCCGAAGTTCGTTTCAGAAAAGCGAAAGTTTGCAGAGAACTTACTGGAGACCGGCGAAGTTGATCTTTCTGCGACAATCGGCACTAATGGAAAGAACTACTTCATTATGAACAATGCGCTTATGATGCGAGAAGGCGATTTCGACGAGTTCTTCGACAAAATCGTCTTTGCGATGAAGAAAGTGGAAGGCGATTTGCTGAACACTCCGATCGTCAGAAGAAAGAACGAACAAGGAGAGCACGAGGAAAACTGGCTCACTGCCTATTTCTTCCGCACAAAATCGCGCCGGGAAGGCTATGGTAGCATACATCAGCCAAGAAAGTTCGATAAATTCTCGAACATTGAACTCGAGCGAATAAGATTCCTGATCGACAATGGCTACGACATCAACCGTCACCCTGCAACATCGTCGGGAAACCTGCCCGTCCATTTCTTCAGCAAAGCCGGCGATGTTCTTGCATTAGACTTCTTCGACGATGAAAGCTTGAAGAAGAAAAATCACGATGGTTGGACTCCGGCACATCATGCCTGCAGTGCTGGCCGCTCCAAATTTGTTGCTGCCCTTTTCCTGAAGAATCCAGAGCTGAGAAACATTCTCAACAATGACGGAAAGGTAATTTGCCCTGGTTAGAGCCAGCTCAATCTTAATATTATATTTTCAGAAGCCGGAAGATCTTTTCCATAATCGGCAGTGTCAGGAGCTCGTGGACATCATGATCGCTGATGGCAAAGTAAATATGACGCAAAACGAATGGAAACAAGTCGAGGAACGAGCGAAAGCATCTCTGAAAGCGAAAATTGAGAAGGAAGCTGCTGCCCGAGGTCGAAAGACTTCTTCTGTCTCTCTTGCTCCCAGCTTTCCTCGGCCAGATGAGAAGGGAGATACAGGTAGTTTCAAGACAGAAAATCTGATTTTTAAACTAGTATATTTCAGGGTGTCAAATCGCGGGGGATTTTGAAGGGATCGCGCGCCACAGCGCCGTTTCGATCCCACGGTGTAAGGGATCGCCTCGCAGCGAGAGGCAACGAGAAGGGAGCGCTCACATAAACAAAGGGATCGCGCCGATCCCTTCGCGCGTGGGATATCCCTTCGCGCAAGGGATCTTAAAATTCCGAAAACGAGCGACCTTGTAAAAATTCAATAACAATCAATTTTTAATGCAAAAAAAGATCAACATATAATAATCCTTACTTTTTTAACGAAAATACTAAGAAAAATTATGCCATAATTAATCCGACTTTGGGTTATTCAATTAAAAAAATAATATTATTCATGTAAAAATTCACCATGATTCTGACTTCATCACAGCTGTTTGGTACCTCGAGTCTTTTCACGTCTTTTCTGTGATTTTATCTTCAGCTGCTTGGAAATAAACCCTTCATATCTGATTCTCGCAGCGGGGTATTACTCAGATACTTTACTAATGATCGGAAATCAGTCCATCTGCAGAAGGACGCCATCTTTCCAGATGTACTGTCAATATAAAGTCCGTCAAAAATGAAATTTTTTCGTAAATATGAGTCAAAAACGGCCATTTGATGAAGGTCCTTTGCTTTCTCCGCCATCTACTCCATTTGAGAAAAAGAAAAAAACCAAAGATGAGTTCAAGAAAATTGTAGAGATTCTAGAAGAAGATGAGAAGCTCGTTTGCACTTCAGAGATCCATCACAATTACACAGCAGATTTCAAACTAGAGAAAATCACGAAGTCAGACCAGACGCCGACGCCATATCTCATTTGCCGGAGCCCCTTCTGCACTAATGCTGAATACAAACATAAGGTAAGAAAAAATTGACCAGATTTGAGTTAAAATTAACCTTTTTCATGTAAAAATTGACCCTTTTCCATGTAAAAATTGACCTTTTTCATGTAAAATTTGACGCATTTCATGGAAAAATTGACCCTTTTTATGTAAAATTTGACCTTTTTCATGTAAAATTTGACCTTTTTCATGTAAAAATTGACCCTTTCATGTAAAAATTGATCGGTCGTGAGAAAAAATTAGCCGTTTTAATGTTAAAAACGACCAGTCAAGTAAGATTAACTCTTTTATAGGTTTTCTTTGGCATTCGAGGCAATTTGGCGAAAGCGAGCCATGCGACTGACTACTACGTGAAACGGCACATCCAAGAACACCATCGTTCAATTACAACCGACGCCGAAGAGCTTGAGGAAATCGCCGCGGAAGCTGTTGCGAACGATGGTCTTTCAATTGGTGCTTTCGAAACCGAAACAATGAAGAAATTTTGCGCAAGGGCTCATAAGGCAATAGCGAATGGAATAAGCAGTCACAAAATTGTGAAGATTCTCAGGTAAAAATTAACCATTATATTTGGATATATAAATTTTCAAGGCGCAAAAGTACCGTTTCGAATGGTATCGTCAAGTCCAAGCTGCCTGGTCTCATCCAGGAAAACAGATGTTGCTTGGTCCTTGATGGATTCGACTGCCCTCGGCTAACGAAAGAAAGAAGTAGCAAATACCTTGGGGTCTTCATCGGCTTTTACGATTCGAACCTGCGAAAGACACGATTTTTTCTTCTTCATTACGGGGTCATCTTCAAAGCAACTGATGCGAATGTACGTCGACAACTAGAAAACGTCCTCTCGGATTGGAATATCCTCGAGTTTTTTCACGCAAAACGACTTCCAGTTGTTGGAGATGCGCCAATGGCTCAGGCCTTCTCCGACTACTTCGCCGTTGTCTGTGCAAGCCACACGATTTCGAATCAGTTAAAAAGGTAAATACATCATTCTTATTTCATCAAATAACGTCTTCACTTTAGATATATTACCCTTGTCCAGAGCGATGCAATCGTCGGCGATAGCTGTGTCGAGATCGAGAAAGCGGTCTCAGCATGCAATCATCGAGCTGAACGAGACGACTGCTCCGAGAAATCCTTCAATGATCTGGTGAAAAGCTACACTCCAACTGAAGACGAGCTCAAGCACATCAGGCAATTCTACCCGAATTACGACAAATTCGTTACGATCGACAGGATCTATTACATCAGATTCAGGTTTGTTCTTCATCATTGCTTGTAACAATTGACCTTTTCCATGTAAAAATTGACCCATTCCATGTAAAAATTGACCCTTTTCGTGAAAAATTTGACCCTTTTCATGTAAATATTGACCGTTTTAATGTAAAAATTAACCCCTTTATGTAAAAATTAACCCTTTCAATGTAAAAATTGACCCTTTTCATGTAAAAATTTACCGTTTCACGATAAAATTAACCGAGGTCATGTTTAAACTAATCGAAAATATGTAATTATTAACTTTATCTTTCAGATCTTTCATCACGACCTACAAGCAGCTCATGGCAAACGAACCTCTTCTTCGTCGCCACCAGAAGTACCTGACTGACTCAAAGTCGATCTTACACGAAATCGACTGGAAGCTCGTTCATTACCTCCACTCAGTCTCCCAAGTCTTCGAGCCTGCTCTGGCGTCCACCGATTCGGATCACTTCTCGGTTGGTGACACTCTAACAAAACTGTTCGACTTGCTGAAATTCTTGCTTCAAATTGATCCGGCTGACTTCAAGGAAATCCACCAGGAGCTGATTCTGACCGTAGCAGACTACATTTTCGGTGCTAACATCACTGGACGGAAGCCATCGAGAGGATCCTACATCAAATCGAGAGCAAATCCAGCTGCTTTGATCGGGCTCTCCCTTGACTTCTTTAGCCGTCACTTCGAATTCACCTTGATCCGTAACCGACTTGACGACGCCTTTGAGAAGGATTCGTTCATCACCAAGTCTACATACGACACCCTCATCAATTGCTTCGATACTGCAGTTCCTGTCTGGAAGGAGACAATGCGCAAGACCTTCTTTGACCTAGCTGAGCAAACCAAACCAATTGAGGAAATCTTCATTCTTGTAAGTAAAGGTTAATTTTTACCCGGAGCTGGTTAATTTTTTCCCAAAAAAGGTTAATTTCTACCAAGTTTCGATTAATTTTTGCATTAAGCGGTAAATTTTTACCCGAAATCGGATGAATTTTTCATAGGAAAGGTCCATTTTTACTCAGACGCGATCAATTTTTACATAAAACAGCATTAATAATTAACTTTATTTTAGGTTCCTGTTGAAAACCAGCAACAGAAGACACCATCAGCAGCTCCTTCATCACAGCCAAAGACGTTGACTCCTCCAAACTCACAGGAGCGCGCTCCGCCGACACCTCCATCTTCTCAAGCAAAGTCGACTTTCGAGGAAGAAATGGAGCAATATTCGAGCGACGAGGATGAATGCGAAAAATCATCAACTGATGAGTTCTCTGCATGGTTCAAGAAGGAGAGCAAGATGGAGCGCAAAGAAAGCGTCAAAAGATACAAGCAATGGTTGAACCAGCTCGATCCCATGTTCAAGACCTCCGCCAGTACGGCCGAACGGAGCTTGATGTATTTCACGCATCACGCTGGAACTTACCCGACATTCGCCAGAATCGCACAACTCATACGCTCAACTCCTGGCTCAAGCGGCAGCATCGAACGTCTCTTCTCGAAAGCGAACGATATCATGTCTTCAAAACGAAACTGCTTGAACACCAGTACTGTTGAACTCATTCTACAAGTGTCTTCTTATCCAAATGTACAGAATCTATTTGAATAAATGTTTTTTGCTGAAAATTTCCCGTCGAAATCATGCATTTATAAACCTTTTGCATGCAAAAATTAACCAAATTCATGAAAAAATTAACCTTGATCATGCTAAAATATCCCTTTTTTAAGTATAAATTGACCGAGGTCATGTAAATATAAACCGAATTCATGAGAAAATTAACCTTGATCATGCAATAATTAACCCATTCTAAGCATTAATTGACCGAGGTCATGCAAATATTAACCATTTTCAAGAAAAATTAACCTTAGTCGCGCAAAAATTGACCAAAATCGGATAAATCAGGCTTTAAGTCGATTAAAACGCCCTTAAATGGCCCTTAGCCAATCAAACCGATCTAAAATGGCTCTTAACCAATCAAAACGCTCGAAAATGTCTATCAGCCAATCAAAACGCTCGAAAATGCCCCTTAGCCAATCAAAACGCTCGAAAATGTCTATTAGCCAATCAAAACGCTCAAAAATGTCTATTAGCCAATCAAAACGCTCGAAAATGTCTATCAGCCAATCAAAACGCTCGAAAATGTCAATCAGCCAATCAAAACGCTTGAAAATGCCCCTTAGCCAATCGAAACGCTCGAAAATGTCTATTAGCCAATCAAAACTCTCGAAATGTCTATCAGCCAATCAAAACGCTCGAAACTGTCTATCAGCCAATCAAAATCTACGTATCAAAAACGATTTTGAGGCTTCATTTTTGAGAGTCTTTGAGCCGTTAAGCATTCAGAACCAAGAATATGTTATTTTTGAAAATTCTCTAGAATTATTATTCTTACGTTTGGAAAACGAAAAAATCAGTTTAGAAGTATGACAAGAAAGGCTTGGAAGTTCCCCATGGCGTGCACGATTTGTTTGAAATCTGTGAAGCCACAAACATTAGACTGGCACTTTTCTCATTACCATGCGGAAATACGACCATCTGATCGAGTCAATTATGTAACCAAGTGCGTTATTTCATCAGAAAAATAACTTTTCTCAGGAAAATGTTTGAACAGGGGTCTAAATTCGCAGTGCCAATTCGCTTTTTGCGAAACCCTAGCACTCTCGTTATTCCATGCACAGAAATTATCAAACAAATAAAAGATCTCTTGAAATTGATGAGAACGACCCGGGTAGATCGAAGATTCGAGCAACATTCGTGGATAATATGAATAGATCCAGGGTGTCAAATCGCGGGGGATTTTGAAGGGATCGCGCGCCACAGCGCCGTTTCGATCCCACGGTGTAAGGGATCGCCTCGCAGCGAGAGGCAACGAGAAGGGAGCGCTCACATAAACAAAGGGATCGCGCCGATCCCTTCGCGCGTGGGATATCCCTTCGCGCAAGGGATCTTAAAATTCCGAAAACGAGCGACCTTGTAAAAATTCAATAACAATCAATTTTTAATGCAAAAAAAGATCAACATATAATAATCCTTACTTTTTTAACGAAAATACTAAGAAAAATTATGCCATAATTAATCCGACTTTGGTTTATTCAATTAAAAAAATAATATTATTCATGTAAAAATTCACCATGATTCTGACTTCATCACAGCTGTTTGGTACCTCGAGTCTTTTCACGTCTTTTCTGTGATTTTATCTTCAGCTGCTTGGAAATAAACCCTTCATATCTGATTCTCGCAGCGGGGTATTACTCAGATACTTTACTAATGATCGGAAATCAGTCCATCTGCAGAAGGACGCCATCTTTCCAGATGTACTGTCAATATAAAGTCCGTCAAAAATGAAATTTTTTCGTAAATATGAGTCAAAAACGGCCATTTGATGAAGGTCCTTTGCTTTCTCCGCCATCTACTCCATTTGAGAAAAAGAAAAAAACCAAAGATGAGTTCAAGAAAATTGTAGAGATTCTAGAAGAAGATGAGAAGCTCGTTTGCACTTCAGAGATCCATCACAATTACACAGCAGATTTCAAACTAGAGAAAATCACGAAGTCAGACCAGACGCCGACGCCATATCTCATTTGCCGGAGCCCCTTCTGCACTAATGCTGAATACAAACATAAGGTAAGAAAAAATTGACCAGATTTGAGTTAAAATTAACCTTTTTCATGTAAAAATTGACCCTTTTCCATGTAAAAATTGACCTTTTTCATGTAAAATTTGACGCATTTCATGGAAAAATTGACCCTTTTTATGTAAAATTTGACCTTTTTCATGTAAAATTTGACCTTTTTCATGTAAAAATTGACCCTTTCATGTAAAAATTGATCGGTCGTGAGAAAAAAATTAGCCGTTTTAATGTTAAAAAACGACCAGTCAAGTAAAATTAACTCTTTTATAGGTTTTCTTTGGCATTCGAGGCAATTTGGCGAAAGCGAGCCATGCGACTGACTACTACGTGAAACGGCACATCCAAGAACACCATCGTTCAATTACAACCGACGCCGAAGAGCTTGAGGAAATCGCCGCAGAAGTTGTTGCGAACGATGGTCTTTCAATTTGTGCTTTTGAAACCGAAACAATGAAGAAATTTTGCGCAAGGGCTCATCAGGCAATAGCGAATGGAATAAGCAGTCACAAAATTGTGAAGATTCTCAGGTAAAAATTAACCATTATATTTGGATATATAAATTTTCAAGGCGCAAAAGTACCGTTTCGAATGGTATCGTCAAGTCCAAGCTGCCTGGTCTCATCCAGGAAAACAGATGTTGCTTGGTCCTTGATGGATTCGACTGCCCTCGGCTAACGAAAGAAAGAAGTAGCAAATACCTTGGGGTCTTCATCGGCTTTTACGATTCGAACCTGCGAAAGACACGATTTTTCTTCTTCATTACGGGGTCATCTTCAAAGCAACTGATGCGAATGTACGTCGACAACTAGAAAACGTCCTCTCGGATTGGAATATCCTCGAGTTTTTTCACGCAAAACGACTTCCAGTTGTTGGAGATGCGCCAATGGCTCAGGCCTTCTCCGACTACTTCGCCGTTGTCTGTGCAAGCCACACGATTTCGAATCAGTTAAAAAGGTAAATACATCATTCTTATTTCATCAAATAACGTCTTCACTTTAGATATATTACCCTTGTCCAGAGCGATGCAATCGTCGGCGATAGCTGTGTCGAGATCGAGAAAGCGGTCTCAGCATGCAATCATCGAGCTGAACGAGACGACTGCTCCGAGAAATCCTTCAATGATCTGGTGAAAAGCTACACTCCAACTGAAGACGAGCTCAAGCACATCAGGCAATTCTACCCGAATTACGACAAATTCGTTACGATCGACAGGATCTATTACATCAGATTCAGGTTTGTTCTTCATCATTGCTTGTAACAATTGACCTTTTCCATGTAAAAATTGACCCATTCCATGTAAAAATTGACCCTTTTCGTGAAAAATTTGACCCTTTTCATGTAAATATTGACCGTTTTAATGTAAAAATTAACCCCTTTATGTAAAAATTAACCCTTTCAATGTAAAAATTGACCCTTTTCATGTAAAAATTTACCGTTTCACGATAAAATTAACCGAGGTCATGTTTAAACTAATCGAAAATATGTAATTATTAACTTTATCTTTCAGATCTTTCATCACGACCTACAAGCAGCTCATGGCAAACGAACCTCTTCTTCGTCGCCACCAGAAGTACCTGACTGACTCAAAGTCGATCTTACACGAAATCGACTGGAAGCTCGTTCATTACCTCCACTCAGTCTCCCAAGTCTTCGAGCCTGCTCTGGCGTCCACCGATTCGGATCACTTCTCGGTTGGTGACACTCTAACAAAACTGTTCGACTTGCTGAAATTCTTGCTTCAAATTGATCCGGCTGACTTCAAGGAAATCCACCAGGAGCTGATTCTGACCGTAGCAGACTACATTTTCGGTGCTAACATCACTGGACGGAAGCCATCGAGAGGATCCTACATCAAATCGAGAGCAAATCCAGCTGCTTTGATCGGGCTCTCCCTTGACTTCTTTAGCCGTCACTTCGAATTCACCTTGATCCGTAACCGACTTGACGACGCCTTTGAGAAGGATTCGTTCATCACCAAGTCTACATACGACACCCTCATCAATTGCTTCGATACTGCAGTTCCTGTCTGGAAGGAGACAATGCGCAAGACCTTCTTTGACCTAGCTGAGCAAACCAAACCAATTGAGGAAATCTTCATTCTTGTAAGTAAAGGTTAATTTTTACCCGGAGCTGGTTAATTTTTTCCCAAAAAAGGTTAATTTCTACCAAGTTTCGATTAATTTTTGCATTAAGCGGTAAATTTTTACCCGAAATCGGATGAATTTTTCATAGGAAAGGTCCATTTTTACTCAGACGCGATCAATTTTTACATAAAACAGCATTAATAATTAACTTTATTTTAGGTTCCTGTTGAAAACCAGCAACAGAAGACACCATCAGCAGCTCCTTCATCACAGCCAAAGACGTTGACTCCTCCAAACTCACAGGAGCGCGCTCCGCCGACACCTCCATCTTCTCAAGCAAAGTCGACTTTCGAGGAAGAAATGGAGCAATATTCGAGCGACGAGGATGAATGCGAAAAATCATCAACTGATGAGTTCTCTGCATGGTTCAAGAAGGAGAGCAAGATGGAGCGCAAAGAAAGCGTCAAAAGATACAAGCAATGGTTGAACCAGCTCGATCCCATGTTCAAGACCTCCGCCAGTACGGCCGAACGGAGCTTGATGTATTTCACGCATCACGCTGGAACTTACCCGACATTCGCCAGAATCGCACAACTCATACGCTCAACTCCTGGCTCAAGCGGCAGCATCGAACGTCTCTTCTCGAAAGCGAACGATATCATGTCTTCAAAACGAAACTGCTTGAACACCAGTACTGTTGAACTCATTCTACAAGTGTCTTCTTATCCAAATGTACAGAATCTATTTGAATAAATGTTTTTTGCTGAAAATTTCCCGTCGAAATCATGCATTTATAAACCTTTTGCATGCAAAAATTAACCAAATTCATGAAAAAATTAACCTTGATCATGCTAAAATATCCCTTTTTTAAGTATAAATTGACCGAGGTCATGTAAATATAAACCGAATTCATGAGAAAATTAACCTTGATCATGCAATAATTAACCCATTCTAAGCATTAATTGACCGAGGTCATGCAAATATTAACCATTTTCAAGAAAAATTAACCTTAGTCGCGCAAAAATTGACCAAAATCGGATAAATCAGGCTTTAAGTCGATTAAAACGCCCTTAAATGGCCCTTAGCCAATCAAACCGATCTAAAATGGCTCTTAACCAATCAAAACGCTCGAAAATGTCTATCAGCCAATCAAAACGCTCGAAAATGCCCCTTAGCCAATCAAAACGCTCGAAAATGTCTATTAGCCAATCAAAACGCTCAAAAATGTCTATTAGCCAATCAAAACGCTCGAAAATGTCTATCAGCCAATCAAAACGCTCGAAAATGTCAATCAGCCAATCAAAACGCTTGAAAATGCCCCTTAGCCAATCGAAACGCTCGAAAATGTCTATTAGCCAATCAAAACTCTCGAAATGTCTATCAGCCAATCAAAACGCTCGAAACTGTCTATCAGCCAATCAAAAATCTACGTATCAAAAACGATTTTGAGGCTTCATTTTTTGAGAGTCTTTGAGCCGTTAAGCATTCAGAACCAAGAATATGTTATTTTTGAAAATTCTCTAGAATTATTATTCTTACGTTTGGAAAAAAACGAAAAAAATCAGTTTAGAAGTATGACAAGAAAGGCTTGGAAGTTCCCCATGGCGTGCACGATTTGTTTGAAATCTGTGAAGCCACAAACATTAGACTGGCACTTTTCTCATTACCATGCGGAAATACGACCATCTGATCGAGTCAATTATGTAACCAAGTGCGTTATTTCATCAGAAAAAATAACTTTTCTCAGGAAAATGTTTGAACAGGGGTCTAAATTCGCAGTGCCAATTCGCTTTTTTGCGAAACCCTAGCACTCTCGTTATTCCATGCACAGAAATTATCAAACAAATAAAAGATCTCTTGAAATTGATGAGAACGACCCGGGTAGATCGAAGATTCGAGCAACATTCGTGGATAATATGAATAGATCTAAGTCTCGCTTGATTGAAGTTAATTCAATCTTAAAGTCTAAAGCAAGAGTTTCATAATAAAAAAAATATTCAAAGAGAAGTTACTTTTCACAATGAAACGCGTGAAAAGAGCCGTTGCTGTTTTTGATCAACCATTTGGTGAATAATCGCATATCAACGCTTCCTGCCAATGTTTCTTATATCGGTAGGTTTATCAAATTCAAAACTCTCTAAAAAGCAAAAAATGATAAAAAGATGCTTAAAAAACACGTCTTCACGACTCGAAAGCGTGCCGCGGCATCTCGAAATCATTTTCGACTTCGTTTATTGAATATATTTGTCTTACAAATATATGGAGATGATCCTCTCCAAATTGATCCTCCCGTTCTTCTTATTCCCGCTGATCCAATGGAGTGGTAAGCTAGGGTCGGACTTCCTTCCTTAATTTTTTGCTTTCTAAGGGTCCTTTCCTTAGTAAGGTAAGGATGCTTTACTTACCCTTTTTCGGGTTTCGGCGGAAAAAAATCCTTTCCATAGTTCCTTTCTGAGTTTTCAGAGATCATCAGATTCATCAATTTCAAAACCCTTACCCTTAGTAACTAAGGAAACCTAAGTAAGGGGTCCGACCCTAGGTGGTAAATTTAAGGGGAAGAGTATCAATATTCACATTTTAACATATTATTTAGTCCCATTGGTCGAGATGACTGTCAAAAAGTATTTGCTGCTGCTCAATGCGAAAAGTGTCCACCAATGTGCTTGGCGTGTCACAAAAGAAGCCTTCCTCCTCATTTCCGCTGTCCCTTTTGTCGACAGACAATGATGTAATTTCTTTCTTTTTTTAAATAATATAATCAGACAAACTTATTAAACTTAATTTGAACATGAGTTTAATTTTAATCAGAAAAAGAGGAGAAAAACTACACTAGATCTGAAAAATTCATAAAATTTGAGACAATAACGAAGAGTTCTGAGTTTTTGAAAAGCGGCGCGAGCTTGATCGGAGAAAATTCCACGCATGAAGCCTGGCGCTAGCCCGCGCGTTTGCTCTGCTATTTTCACCGCGATCCCTTTCCGTTCAAAAAGCGCGCGAGCGATCCCTTCAGACTTGGGATCGAGCGTGGGCGGTGGCGCGCGATCCCTTCTCGATCCCCCGCGATTTGACACCCTGGTATATTTAGCAAACGAGGATGAGAAAAATGTCGAGAAGATTGTCGAGAATGCCGTCAAAGAAGAAAAGGAGAAAGAAGACCGGGAGCTCAATGAACTCGCGAGAGAACTTTGCGAAAACATCATTCGAGAAGTCATTGATGCAGCTGTTTCTGAGTGCGAAAAGAAAGGTTAAAAGTTAACTGCTTTATTTAGTTTAAAATATAACTTTATAGAGAACGAACAAGCCGCCAGCGATCCAGAACAAGCTACACAAGATCCCGTTGTGAACAGCTCTTCACCTGATGCTCCTGCTGCAGCTGCAGCTCCTGTCCATGATGTCCGAGCAAGCTATCGATTCGATGCAGAGGAAGAAGCGGCTTGCGATCAGGAAGTCGACAAATTACTCAATTCTACAGCTGGTTCCTCTGAAATGCAAGAATCTTCGCAGCTAATGGCTTCTGAAATGAACAGAGGCGAGCCAGATAATGATGATGAAGAGAGAGATGCTCCCGTCGAGGACGCTCCTGTGAGTGAAGTCGACCAAGAAGAGGCTGTAGTTGAAGAAGCTGCTGCAGAAGAAAGTACAGTGAAAGAAGCTCCCATCGAAGATCAAGCTCCTGAACCAGTTGCTCCTGTCACTCAGCAAACTTCTCGCATCTGGCACCGACGAAGACGAGGCCACTTTGAGGCAAGAAAGTTGGCTCAGTCTCGAGTAGATCGACAGCAGACCGACCAAGTGAACGAAGAGAAAGAAGAAGTGCCGCCAGTGAGTGAGGAACCTGTGCAAGACGCTTCCCCGCGGTTTTCACTTGATGCGAGATCAACTTCTGGTAGGAATTCTTGAAATAGGGACTCTTTCAAATATGATTTTTAGGAAGCACAATAGGCTCTTGCCAATCGTTGGCAGGATCTTCCCAGGCGCCGTCGGAGATAACGTTGTCTAACATCTCCATCAAATCAGCTAGTGCCTGTGATTCTATTCCGGTAAGTTAACCGTTTTTGATGCATAACTTATGATTATGCAGCATAAGTCTAATAATTCTTAAGGCGAGCCTGATGCCCTACAAAATGAAGCAGATCGCGCTCCTCGAGAGCGAGCTTGCGATAGCCCTGGAAAAGTCGAAGAAATACGAAAAAGAGGCCGAAGGATACAAAGCTGAGCTGAACAAGTACATCGCGTTGTACGGGCCGCTTCCATCCGACTCTACCCCCAGGCATGGTTTTCAATTTGAATTTTAATTTTCGTTCAAATCTTCTATGATTTCAATTTCGAAAACCCTTCAAAAGAGCCTATCCGTCCGAGTCGAACAACTCCGAATCCTGAGCAACGAAAACTTCGCTCCTCACTCATTTTCTCCTGGCACTCACTCACTTCCTGTCCACTCACCTCATGTGCCTTTCACTTCAATCAGTTTCTAGCTCAATCATTTAGCCCAAATTCGAATTTTTGCTACATGTTTCTTTTGTTTCATGCTGCCACTGCTACGGATACATTTACAATTTACAGTCACTGAGCTAAACAATAAACTAATATTATTTTATTGAAAGAAATTTGGTCATATTTTGTTTTGGAATATCGAAGAGAATGATAGAAATAGAAATATCTCGGAAACATGAGTTTTAAAAATAGCTAGTTGTTTCCACATTTAAAGTTCATCGGGCAATTACAGGCGATTTTCTATTTCTGCGCAACAATCATTAGATCGTATATCTGCCCACTTTTCCAGCCTATTGAGAAGAAACCCAAAACACAGCCGGCTTCTGAATCACTGTTTTTCAGCCGATTTTCAAGCGACTGTAAACTTTCGTTGGGGTATTTTTACTCTGCGTGAATTACGGAACGGTAAAATCGGTGGAAAATGAACTTACTATCTTCAAGGTGTGTCTAATAAAAATATTCCGTTAAACGGATTCCGTTTCAAAAGGTTTAGGCGGCCTAACTTAGGCCAAAAGCCAGTTTTTCTACCGCAAAATGCCCCGTCTTAAACTCTGAATCAGGCCCTGTTTCCGAGTGAAATTTCGGAATAACTTGTCCGAGTTGCTTGTTCTATTACTGTCCGTGACCCTGATTTAGGATCCCTTAACACAGGATATAGAGCCTCTGTATAAGTTTTTTAAGAAAGTTTAGCTAAATACACTCCTTCTCAAACCAACTCATCCATTAGATCATCAAAAAAGTGAGTGGACTCCGGTCAACTCCGTAGGAAATCGGAGTTCTCAAGTTAATGATGCGCAATCATCGAGCCGCGCAGTCAATCCACGCTCAGGTCGTCTTTCCATCGAGATATGTTATCCTCGGTTTCGGTTTCTTCTTCAGACTTGTTATTTTCCGTTTGATTTTACCGTAGACTTTCGCTGATTTTCGAAAATAGTTATTTTTTTTCTTCCAGTTGTCATGGAGACGCTCGATGGAAATTTTTGGTTGGCGCATTGCGGGACAAAAATCGATAGAACTAGTCTCCTTAGACATTTTGAATTGTTATCATCCCTTGCGCAAACTTCGAGTAGAAGATTCTCTAGAACGCTTCCTTGTTTTCAGTTTTCGGTGAAGAGAAAATCAGTTTGAACGGAACCATTCCAGGTAAGAAGTTGATTTATTCCGGACCAGTCTCGGCAATCTGTATAGATCTGTTAGAAACCTGACTCAAGGACCAATCTCAAGAATTTTTTGTTACTCTGGCAAAGCTACCGAGCGACTTTTCATCGAATTCTCTACTTTTTAAACAGATTCCCGATCTTATGCTTAGATTCTTAGATTTTTTGAATATTTTTTTTCTAGAACGACATTTTTGTTGTTGAAAATTAAAATTCTAGCTTCAGTTCTATTTTTAACCGGTTTTGAGAAGGCAAATTTTCTGAAAAATTAATCTCTTTTTAGGAAATGTCTTCATCTGCAAGAATCGCTGAAGATATTGGCTGGGATGATGGGTTGGAAATCCCGGTCGCAAATTCGGAGAACAAGAAGGTATGAATTGATAGCGTAGACGACTCTTGATTTTGAACTTTTAGCTCACCGCCAAACTCCAAGAGCTTCGCCGCAATTACGACCAAAAAAGCGGAGAGAGTGAGAATCTCAAAGTCAAAATCAAGAACTTAGAATCTCACCTCAAGACGGTTCGGGAGGAGCTTCAGAATACGCTTCAAATGCGAAATACGCGCAAAAAAGAGCTCGACACTGAGAAGCACTTTACCGTCGTCAGCGAGCACGAGAACTCGCGCCTTTCGCAGCTCATCCGATCGCTTGAAAAGCAACTCGAGTCGCTTCGGGAACAGCGAAATGTCTTTGAGAACAAGATCTACCAGACGAACAGCAAGGTTGAGCAGCTCAAGAATCAGATGCAATGGGACCAGCACGCTCTTGAAGCTTGGTTGGAGGAGTCAGCTAGACGGGACGAAGATGCGCTGCTCTTTCAGAAGTATCGAAAGCAGGATGATTCGAAAATAAAGGTAATTCCGATCGTCAATCTTTGATTTCTCAATAACTGTCTTTAGGAGCTTCAATTATCCATCGAAACAATGACCGAAGAGCGCAACGCCGCCCGCCGAAAACTCGAAGTGGAAACCACCGAGACGTTGACCGCCCAACTCGAGCTAGAAAAGATCGCCGAGGAGTTCCGCACCGCTCACACCGCCCGACAAGACCTGATCTCTCAGTGGGAGTCGAGCTTGAACTCGATGAAGCAGAGAGATGCGGATATCAAATCCGAGGAGGACAGAGTCGAAGCGATTCGGGAAGAAATCACCGCTCGAGAGCTGATGATCAAGGAGAAACGGGCGTTTATGCAGACTGAGTCGGAGAATAACAAGGAGCTGGAGAAGAAGATCGACATCAAGGAACGACAGAACTCCAAGCTTCGCGAGCAGAAATTATATATCAAAGGTAAGACAAGAAATGCTCGGGCTTGAATGCCTATTTAAGAGCCTGAGTCAGGGTCCTTATTCCTGTTTTTGAGACTATGATCTGTCGCAGAAAATACTTTAGTACCCTTACTCAGGTTTTAGCAAAGGTTCCCGCCCCAGCTTTTGGCATTTTATAAGACTGTGTAACATGTAATTAATCCCAATTCTAGAGCGAACTCGCCAGCTCGAAGACGACGTAAAAACGCTGCAGTACAAGAGCGACCGATCCCGCAAAGAAAACGACTCCCGAATCGTGATGGTCGACTCGCTCAAGAGCCAATTCAAGCAAATGGAAGGCAAGCTATCAACGATGCAGGGCGAAATGCGCGACATTGAAGAAAAGACCGAGAGCGCTCGCAAGGGTCTCCTCTCCGCCGCCGAAGCCGCCAAGGAAGCGGAGAAGATAACCTTGGAAAACGAGGCCAAGTTGAAGGAAAAAGAAGCGATGAGCTCGAGATGCCGAAAAGTCGCGTTCAGGAAACACCAAGAGCTACAAGACGCGATCGGGGAACAGAAACAGCTTGATTTGGAGCATCATGGGGCGAAAGCCGGGCTTAGAAATCTGAAAAACGCGCTGGTGAAGCTCGACCATGAAAGTATCAAAACACAAGAGATCATTTACAATCAAGACTTTACAATCGCCAACCTCGAGCGTCGAATCGCCCGCGTCCTTGGAGAAGTAAACAGCGAAGAGAAACAAGCGATCATCGAAAAACGCGACAAACTCCTGGCGCTGGTCGAAAAGAAGCAAGAACGAAAGAATATGATCGACGCGCAAATGAGGAAACTCAGCGAAAACAGTCGCAGGGTTACTCTTTTGCTGGAGAAATGCACCAAGGAGTACAACTACGTTTCCAGCAAAATTGAGGAGTTTGAGCTTTATGATGATTCTAGGTAAGAAAAAATATGCCACTTGCGATGGCTCCTGTTTTTTAACTTGTTTTCTTGTTTATAAAGTAAATGACTTTTTTTACTAGCAAACGCGCACACGAAAACCTGATCCGCGAAAAACAAGATCTCATGGTCGAAAACGCTATCCTCAAGCTCAAAGTCAAAAAGGTCGAAGAAATGGCTGACGCTCACGTGCGCGGCATTATCGATCTTGAAATGCACCGGACCCGGCTGGAATCGTCCCTGAAGGAGCGACGCATCGAAATTGAGCAGCACGAAACGCTGGCGAGGATCAATGTTCAATCGTATGAGGCGATGCGACTGACGATTCAGAAAAAGATTCATGAATGCAGAACGAAAGTTACTATGGTACGATAATACTTTAAAATATCTCTTTTTGACGATTTTTCTAGCTTCGAAATCGCTTTGAAATCATTAACATGCAGCTGAAAGCTCCAGAGGGCGAGGAAAACAAGTCGCAGGCATTCCACGTGATCCAAGCTGCTCAAGAAAAAGAAGCGCTCAAACGACGAGGAGACATTCTTCACGCGCAGATTAAAAAGGCTGAAACTGAACTCGAGGGGCTTGAAAACACGCTCGTCATCATCAATGGCGGAAATGAAAGACTCAGACACAAGTAAGCCCCCAGAATCTAGCCTAGACTGTCTAGGTTCTCTTTTATGTCTCCCAATTATCAACTGGCGTTCTTATCATTAATTTCTAGCCTACGACATGCAGATGAAAACTCAGCAGAACACGAAGAGATGCAAAATTTGGAGCGCAATCGACGCACAGTGTCGGAAACGCTGCGACACAAGAACAGAATTGTTAATGAACTTGAAGACGATCTCCATCTCAAGGAGCAGACCCTTATCGCGCATAATGAGATGCTGCTCAGAACGCAGGCGATCATTGATGAACAGAATAGCAAGAGGCTTACAGTGAGTCTTGGTGTCTTCATTTTTACCCATTTTGATAACGATATTTTAGCTCCAAAAAGAGGTCGAAAAAAGCGATGAACGAGTAAAACGCGTCTCCGAGCGACTCTCAAAGCTAGAAAAAGACATCAAAAAGAACGCCGACGGACTTCAATACTCCTCCGACTTCGTCCAAGCTGATGCCCGAATCAAGGCCCTCCGAGAGCTGTCGAAAGAAACGCTCAAGAGCATCGGAAAGATTCGCGATCGACATCCAGAATTAGGCCTCGAGCTTGAGGACTCTTTGGCTGCTGGTGGACTGAGAATTCCGACGCCTTCGAGTATCTCTTCTCCCGCCAGTTCTGCTAGATTGTCGACCAGTCGAAGTTCGATCGTTTCCAGAGGATCGAGGAGTTCTCAGGGCTCTGCAGCAATCGCCACTTCCACAGGTAAAGAACAAACTCTTTCTTTCGATTCAATTTCATTAGTTCAACTCGGCCTGTCTCAAGTAAGCGCTCCGCCAAACTCTGCTGAATCCAGCCGCGCCGGAACCGCTAGATCTGTTCGCTCAACTCGATCAAACACCAGCTCGACCAAAAGCAAGAACAAGACTCTTGACAAACTGTAGAAAAAAACACACATGTCTGTATTTTATACTCATCAAATGACGAGTGTCACTACTACTATTTTAATAAATAAGATTATTTTTATAAAAAATGAAAGCGAAATCATTTTGAAAGTCAAAGATTTTGCACAAAGTCTACTTTTTCGCGTGGTCATTTTGCATCAGAACTAAGTTCAGCTGTCATAGCAAGTAAAACAAGTGTATCGGCAAAAATGGCAGTCGTCAATGTCATGTTTAATGAATATTACAGTAATTTCTTGCCTACTTAAACAGCTCTACAGTCGCTGAACCATACAGTTTCCTTATAAGACTTTTCAATTCCTGATGAACTTCATCCTTTTTTCGCTTCTCGTCGCTCAAGTTTTTTCCAGAACCAGTAAGTTTCGAAAAGTAGGGAAAATTGCACCTTTCAATTTTCAGGCGAAGAGTGCTATCGCAAATGCATGAGCAATTCGAGACAAATGTTTCAAGAAAATTCTGATCATGGCGATTCCGATGAGTTTTTCGAAGAGTTTCTCGGCTAAACTGACTGTTTATCAAAATCAATGTCGCTAGAAAAAAAAGGTTCAACTGCAGCTGTCAATTTGTGAATTGCAGAAAAGTGCGCGCTTGTAACATTTGTTTTCGGAAAAGTGGAATCCGTTCGGCGGAGGATCTCGAGCTCAATCTGCTCAAGTGGTTTCCTTGAGTATCCCAATTCATTCCCGTGCTCAGGAAGCCAATTAAAATCATAAGTAGAACATTTGCATACACTGTTGTTTCCACCACCCTCTTTCGTTCGAGCTACGATACTTTGACTGCGCGCCAATTTGATTTCTTGCAAATTTTTACTTTTGAGAAGATTTTTTCTAGCAAAAAATTTTCGGGGTGGGACAAGATCAGCCGGACATTATCGGGTTTTTCGCGGTGACACTTGATGACAGTTGTCAAAGGACACTTCCGAAATGAGATTTGTTTTGCCCTTTTAGGCATTTTTTTTCTTTCGAATTCGTTTTTTTTCTTATCATTTAAGGAACCCCCCCACATCAACAATTTTTGAAAAATGAAAAATCGGCTTTTCATAATTATGACCCCGGAAATGCTTTCTATAGGTCAAAAACGATTTTCAGGCATCATTTTCGGGGGTATATCTCGACTCCTTTACCCCGAAATTGCATTTAAAAATTTTGGCAAAAATATTGATTTTCTAGGTCAAAAATGCCTCTTATCAAGTCTTTGAAGGAAGTTTAACCTGAAGACGCATAAAGAACCAAAAATATGGTGTTTTTGAAAATTTTAATTTTTCGAAGGAAAAAGCTGACGGGGGGTCCTTAAATTTTATTTCCTTCATATTTTGTTTCATTTCTTTCCACGTGAGTACACAAAAACAACGATTTTTTTCCAAACTTCTCGAAAAAGCAATCAGCTCTCTCCTTGTTCGCTCTCTATTGTCCAGCAGGTGCGAAATTTTTGGTAGTAGAACATCGCCGGGTATACGCGCGCTGAGGGTGGCTAGAGTGTGTACGGCGGTGCTTGATTCTCGCCCAGCTGGCTCACTCTCATTTGCATCGAGGACAGCGCTGGGCGTAAACCGCGAAATTCGCGAAAAGCCAAAAATATCTGTACACAATCGAATACCTCCCCAAGTGCCATAAACCTAACTGATCCAACTTCGTCAGTTTCAAGGCGAACATTTCTTTTCCAAGTGTCACTTTAATAAATCCAGACAAATCGGCGCGTCCAGGATCAAAAGAAGCGCGTCACTTTAGGGAGTAAGTAATTTGGTCAACTTTCAAGTGTGTTTTATTGTCCGGTAGCGATTCTCGTAGCTCCCCGGAATCCCATTTACCGCAGCGCTAGAAAAAGAATGTCTGGGCTCGGCAACCTTTGTTAAAAACCTGAGCCAGGTTCTGAATGGTAATGCTCCGAACCCGCTTTGTCTGACTCAGAACCTGACTCAGGTTTTCAACTCAGATTGCTGAGCTTCGAGCTATGTTGTCCAAAATAATGGAACCCTAAAAAATCTTCAAAACCTTTAGCAATGGCTACTTGTCGGTAAAATTAAATAATCATATAATTATATTTTATTATTTATTGTTTTATTATCAAGGTGTTGACCAGTCAAATAAAACACACTTCGTTGCCTATGTGAAGAAAAATGAAATGAATCTTTCATTTGAGAAAAAAAATGAAACGCATATTTCTTTTTTTATCAACCTTTTTCGCCATTGCTGCCTGCGCCATTATCGGCGTGACCATTTTCTTCTGGATGAAAGCAGAACAAAGTGGAATAGAAGGAACCACTGATGATGGCGAGATTTGGATGGATGATCTTTTTGGAATTTTTGATATCTTCGAACGAACGAATGGAAATAAATGGACAAGGGTGGAAATTTTCATCAAGAATTCAACAAGAATTGCATATGTTTCAAATAAGACGATGACTAAAGAGGATGCTAGAGAACAATGCGATTTGCTCTCAAAAAGAATGAAGAAAAAACTGACCTTTCCGAGGAATATATTCAAAATTTTAACACCCAATATTACTTGGAAGGACATTATTTCGCATCCTTATCCTGAGGGCCCAACCCCTTACTTAGGAGATTCAGGTGCTCGCTCAACAGCACAGGGGTCAGGTATGAAGACTTCTGATCAGGATGATGACCAACCGCCGACATTTTTTCTCGACGCTTCTTTTGATCAAAATGGAGTGAATGGCAGTGCTGCGATTCTTAGCTTTCTTGAGGTTAGGTCCCACTTCTTGAGCATAATTTTTCTCAACAATTTAGGCTGAGAGGAAGAAGGTCTTTGACGACGATCGTCAGTACGTTCTGATGAAGGTCGGGCAACATACCTTGGCTTATTTATTAGATAGCTGCCTTTATCTTCCCGATCTTTCTTCCACCGTAAAACCTCAAACAGTGCTCGCGGATCCAATTGGCAAAACATACAGTTATATTTGTGCAAACGACTCGATTTTCGGCGACCCAGAAGTCGCGAAAATACAATGGGTGGAGAGACAAGAAGATATTCGGTGTGAAATATTGAATGTTTCAAAGGGTTACGTTGAGGATTATATCATTATGAACGACGTTGAGTTTGAATGGGGATTTAGACCTGATCTAAAAGGAAACTTTCCAGGTTAGATTAACGCTTAGTTTCGCATGTAGGTTCAATTTATTTAGAAAATCTAAAAGAAATTTGGTTTGAACAATATGGCAAATACCCTAGAGTAGAGTTTTTGCCAGGCTGGACGATCAAAAGCTACAGGGAATCGTTGGAAACTGAAGAAGAGCCCATTAAGCTTTGCAACTCAGAAAAACATGGTACTGCTCCCACATTTATCATGATAAGGATTTTATTAAGGACTTGCTTGGAAAATTCACACAGAAGCAGCCATAAATGAGGAGCTCGAAATCGGAGTTCATGGGGAACTGGTTTCGTTGAACGAAAATGGTTTTATGTAAGTTCTTCGAAATTTAAGGATATTAACGAAAAACATTGAAGGCGGGAAACTCTGTGCGTAGAAAACTGAGAAAGGAGCAATTTGAAAGATTTATTAACCGCGAATATTTTTGTGAAAATTCCTTTAATAAACGATAAAACAATCCTGAGACAGAAGGCGCCGGGGAATGAGTTGTTTAATGTCATGACATGAGCCAGGGCGTAGCGGAAGTGCATTTTTTGGAATTTGAGCGGCGCAGGAAGCGCGCTGCTAAAACCCACTTCGCTTTTTCAAATTCCGCGACCTCGAAAAATCGTAAAGATCGAGGGCCCATCCAATCTCCAAGGTTATCCAAGATAGTCAAATGGAATGTCTCCAAGATTTTCGTCCCAAAATGTGTATCATTCGAAGCATCCCTTTTTGGGCTAAGTTTATTTATTGAATCTGGAAGAAGGAAAAAAAGGCGTGAGAGTCGGAAGTAGCCACCCCGCCGCGCTGCCCAATTTGTGAAAACTGGCAACTTTCGACCGTATTTGGCTCATTATGCAATTGATTAGCAAGGTAAACTTTCTCAGCCCCCGGATTCAGCCACGTGATCCAGCCAGCGCCACGGGAGAAGAGCACTAATCTGAACGGATATAATTGTTTACTTCCGATAAAAAATAATTGAAGAAATTTTCAGGATTTCCGGAAAAATTTGAGATTTTGGATAAACCATAAAATTTCAAAAATTTTTTGATATATATAATTTCAGATTTTCCAGAAAAGTGAAAAAATTTATCTATTATGAGCTGTTACAGTAACAATTTAATCACTAGCCCGGTGTTAATGTTTATTACCAACAATAACTGTTCAACCTTGAGGTCACGTGATCTGATAGAAGTTCCAAGTGTTGACCTAATCATCCTCCTCAGCCCCCTCCCGTTCTCCAGCTGATTGAGTCTTGCACAAGTCCACTTGACAAAGAAAAAATAATCGTGTTTGGTGCTTCTGCGGGGGCGGCGGCGTCTCTTTGATCAGCAGCACGGGATTAGGAGAAAAACCGACAGCACAAAACCTCACCCGCCCGGTTGAGCTCACTCTTTCTGACACTCGAGTGATAAAATCAAGAATGCTAATGTCGGCTTCCACGCTTTTTTGTTGGGAAATGGAAGGGTATGCCAGTACCGGGCTCTAGAATTGAGATTTTGGTTGAAAACTAGATTTGTTCTTTCGCCCGCGCGCAGAAGTGGTGCCTTGTCAGTGCGACTAATTGCTCCGGTGACCGGACACTGACAGGCGGTTCCTTGGTGGTGGTGGCGGATGCCTGATCGAATTTAGAATCGGCACCAGCAGCCACCGCCAAACGTCATCCAAATGGACCACGCACCACTAAAAAGAGTGACCGGGGAAATTTAACGCTCCCAAAAAGGAAAGAAGAACGCGTGGTACTGGACTTTTCCGCTCGTTTCTTCTGACAGGTCCATTATTATTCAAAACATGATTTACCATTTCGGCGGTTCAAAGCCGAGCCTATTTCACGCTATTCCAAATTCTTAGATAAAAATGCAAATCTACTAATTCAAACAATCAACAACTCATTGATCCCGACTCTCTTTTTTTGGATGATTTTCTTAATTGGATCATTTCTTTCCCTCTCTCTAGGAAGAGATAAGGTGGCGAAGATAGGTGGAGAACGACAAGGAGGGGAAATTCCGTGATCCCAGGAGGAAAAGTTAATGCTAATTTGGTGACCTGAGACTACGCTATCGAGGCGAAAGTGCGGTCGGTAGAATCATTGATATGCTAAAAGGGTTGAGATAGTGATTGTTCTCAATTTTTTGCTAAAGATTTTTGAAAAAATAAAGAACCTTTCTTCTTCAGAACATTTAGGAAACAGCGTTATTTTGTGAGTTTTGGTAGTCATTATTCAAATAGAAAAAAATACCCAAATTTAATTAGAAAATGTAGCATTATGGTGGCACCAAAAATTCTTTGATATGACGATTCGAGAAAGAAAGTTTTTATCAATCTGTTTTCGGAAGTGTGTGTAACATATACACAAATCTTGAATGTGTGTATTCGATTCCGGGTGGATTTCGGATTTGAAATGTCGGAAGCTTCTGCTGCGAGCTAATCTGATTACATCGACTTGGTGCTAATGAAGGGAAATCGATTTGAATTTTACGCGCTAATGAGCGCTTTTTCCTTTTCTGTTTTTTCAGAAGTAGAAAAAGGGGAATACTTGGTACAGGCGATAGCGATCGGAGTTAACGGGTATTTACGTTTATCTGTTGACGTTGTTTATATTTTTGTCAACAGGGAAAGTCGCGCTTGGTGTTTGTCACTTCAGTGACATGATCAGATTCGCACCTCCACTGCTCTTGCCCGGGCCCGGACGCGCCGCACCTGCTAGAACACCGAGATTACACCAAATTCGACGCCAACAACTATTCTCAGTACTACTGTACATCGTTTTTGATTGTTGTTTTTCGTTCAAAGTCAAATTCAATCAATTTTTAGTCCGAAGAATTGCTAAGAATCGAGAAGCCGCTTGCGGCTTCGAGTCAAAAAGAATTTTAGCCGCGCAAAAAAAAAAAACGGAAAAGCCGCGCTTTGCGCGGCTAAAATTCTTTTTGATTCGAAGCCGCAAGCGGCTTCTCGTCTCAATGAATCAGTTCGGAGCCTTCTTTTTCCAAGAAATCAAAGCTGGAAACCCTACAAGTGATCAAAACATCCCTCTCACTCAAGAAAAAAGTCTTTCCCTTCGACTGGTTCCCAAGCGGAAATTGCACGGAACATGTGATTTCCTGTTTCAGATTTGCGTCTGAAAAGTGCCACTTGGGCCGGCTCTGAGAGACGCCGCCCTCGAGTTTTTTCAAAAACTCTTGAAAAGTTGCGCACGTGACCACGGCACCGTGTTGTTTGCGTCTAAATATCTTCTTTAGAGCTTCTTTCATCATTTGGGATTTTTTCTAGAGCCAGTGTTCAGAGTGCCCTTTTTCATAATCAGTTGAAATTATTCGATGAACATCTTGATCTTGACGTATTTTTCGCCGTCTACGAGCTTTTGTATTTATTACGATCATCAAAATTATCATAACCGTCATTACAAAATCCAAGAAAATGCCGAGAAAAACAAAATTGATTCTGATTTTTATTGCCAATTATCCTGATCATCTCCCAGAGGATCTAAAGGATCATTTTCTCGACTCCTTGAATAATAATTTGGCGGTGGCCATGTGTAACAAGCTCGTGCACTTCTGCGACATACGCGTTTTGGTGCTAGAAAGTTGTACTCCACCCAAGCTTTTGACACTTTTCGCCAATCTAACAAAGTGCTCTCTCTGTCCGAGTGGGGGGTTTTCTTCTTCTGCCGGGTTTCTTTTGAGATGACAGTATCACTGCTTCATCTTAGGGCTCTAGAACTAAATAGCTCAATCTCAGAAAAAGAGACACTGGTGAAAGCGCTTAGGACGTAAGACGCTTAATACCTCCGCTACTTTAGGCAGCACGCCATGAATAATGAGCATCATTTTGAAGCATATTGGTTTTGCTCCAGATTTCACGGACGAGGCGACCCCTGGAACGAACGAAGAGAACTTTTCCAAATAAACAATTAAACAAAAAACAACGGGTATCACCTTAATTGAGATCCGCTTATCGCTAGAAAAGAAGGTTCTTACTTCTGGCAGATTGTTTTCCCTAATAAAGACAATTCTGTCAGATTTGGTAAAGAGATTAAGATCACTTTTTGAAGCATAAATTTTCTTGAGAGATACTCTTATTTGGAAGATATAATATAATAAAGAAATCAATATCGGTTTAAACTTGAATTTGGTGTAGTGAAATAAGGGTATCACTACGGTAAATCGGGTCTGAAAGTCTAAGAGGATTTTTACGAGATTTATTAAAGTGACACCCTTATTTTTACTCGTCATATTCAAGTTTAAACTGCTACTGATATCTTTTTTGGGTTATTGCTTTCGAATAAGGGTATCTCTTTATAAAATCTTTGAATTGACAAGCAAAGCATAATCTTAACTTTCTAGCTTACGAAAAAGTTCATCTGCATCTCTTAGGTAGATTAAGATTCTTCAGGCGAAAGTTTCATTAAGAAAAGAAAATCTCAGGAAAAATTTAAAGCTTCGAAGATGAGTTTTAAAAAATCAAAAATGCGCTACACGACGTAATCGTTCAGCGGCGAGGCACGTTGCGCCTGCTCAAGATGCAAATGATATGAAAAGGAGATTCAAAAGTGAACGCATTGTTTGAATTTTCAAGTTCAACCCGTTTCCTTAGACACCTTTCGGAAACATTATCCCATTGCTTCTCCTGCCATCAAGATCTCGGAGCAAATCGACAGGGAGTTGAGCAGGGAGTCAGTAAAGTTTGGAGCAGTATCGATTTAGACTCAAAGTTGCACGTGGATTCCAGGATTTGCGTTTTCGGAACCCCAGTGGAGCTTATTATTACCCAGCAGGGGCCCGTCCAAAAAGTGTCGATTCTTTATCACCATCGGAAGGGATCAGGGGTCCCAAAGGATCAATTTTTAAGAAGCCATATATATTTCCAATCCCCTTAACTTTATCTCTGAGGAAAATTGTCTCATAAAAATATCATTTTTGACTGCACAGAAAGAAAAACACATTCGAGTCGAAAAGCCGCTCGCGGCTTCGAGCAAAAAGATCGAAAAAGCCGCGTTAAACGCGGCTAATAACTTTTTTATTTAGACTCAAAGCCGCGTTTTTAATTTCCAGGACGACTTTTAACCACCTTTCGGAACCCATAAATTGGCTTTCTTATATAAATTCCCCTCCAAGTTCTTGTAATGATATTCATAACTGCCGTCTCGCGCGGTAAAAGCGCTCAAAACAAAATCAAATTTTACAATCAACCCCTGACCACAGAGATAGAATTCATCAATATATTAGACAGCAAATGCTCAATCAAATGCTCTCGAGGAAAGCCTCGCGTAATAAGGGAAGAAATAGAGAGACGAGAAATTATGGAAATGAATCGTATGACGTGAAGGAAAAAAAAAGCAAGCGACTAATTAGTATTCACGAGCGACGTTTTTTGTGAACTTGGCGAAGGATTATTATTCACAGGGAGCAGCCGAGGATTATAAATTTTCACTTCAACATGCTTCGGAGCTCTTTTGATTGATAATTTTGCCAAAAAAGCTAGAAAAAATGATCAAAAATTTGAGAAAGGAGACATTTTTTCTCGCTTTCAGGACGGTTATCCAGGTTTTAACTGTATTTTCAGTAAAAGAAGACTGTTTTTGATTGAATTTTATGCAATTAAGAATCTTCAATTTGTAATTTTTGATCTCAAATAAAATTTTTTCGATAAAAAATCAAAAATTAACAGAAAAAAACCTCCAAAAACACTTGTTAACTTAAGCCAAGATGATAACTTGCTAAATATTTCCCCCTCAATCTGATATTGATCAGTATCTTGACACTAAACCAAGTTCCCTTCATTTTTCAGTACCAGTTCTTCCATTTCCCCTTTCTGCCCAAGCGCGCCACCTACCGATCCGCCCCGTCGCGGGCTCTCATTGGCCGGGCTCGCGTGCGCCCTCGCTGGAGACCAAGGACTGATGGAGTTGTAGAACGCTAGCGGATCTCTCTGTTAAAAGTCCTCGCTCCAATTTTTGATTTTTCATAATCGAGGAATAAATTAACAACTCTTGAATTTCAATTTTTGAATCAAATTCAAATTTCCTTCGATTAGCATATCGGAAGAACAGAAAACATTTCCATAAATTTGCCTCCAAGTCTAGTGCAAATTGTAAATTAACATCAAACGAGAGACGCTTCTGCTACATACAGAGACAAACAGGGAGAGAGAATACAAATTCTACAGGCGGAAACAAACAGATGTCGCTCAAGACGGAGCCCAACGATGGGCTGATAAAAACACCGGATTTTTACGGCTACGGTGCGAATACTACGAGCTTCGGTTACGGAGCTGGATACCCTTATGGCCTCAGCGGTCCTGCAGCAGCGACTAATGGAAGCCTGGCTGATCAGTGGAACTATCATTATCAGGTACAGATAGATCAAAATTTGGAGCATTGGAAATTTTAGAGAATGAATTTGATTGAAATTTCTGGGGGACCAGAATTGAGTGCGCGTAGAAATTGATTTTCAATCTCTTTCGAAAGGAAATTTTTGATCACCATGAATCATGGTCCATGATGAAATGAAATATAGAAGGCTGGACGATCAGTGATTGATATTTGACTGTATTTCGCGTCATTCTTGCGACATTTATTTAATTAATTTTTCATTTGATTTTTAATTTTTTGAAATTTTTTCCGTTATTTTTCAAAAGAAACTTGGCAATGTCGGCATCAAAGATTGAGAAAAAAAACCTTGTTTCAGATGATCCTCGTTGGAGTTTTGACAGGTCTGATAGGATTTGTAGTTGTTTCTGTTTATCAACAGAGTGAGCAACTAACGGGGCGGAAGTGTAAACAAAAACGTTTTCCAACACCGAAAGAGAGCGAAAGTGCCGGCCGCAAGCTCCTTCCGCTTTTTGCACCACCAACGAGGACATTTAGACCACAATTTAGGACAAGTGCGGAAAGAGGCAGAAAAAAATACCGCTTTTTAACGTGGGTCTATTTTTCTTATCGAAAATTATGAAAATTTACATCAGGATTTTGAAATAATTTCTGCTGCAAAATTATCCCAAAAAGTATTTTATGGTGTTGAAACCCTTAATTTTGGTCTTGAAAGTAGACACGTAGCTTTAGAGCTATTTTTTGGCTCCCTGTAGCTCTAGAAATTTAAGGAATGCAGTCTACTGATATTTTCGCGAACAAGGAGCTCCTCGAAATTCCTCTCTCTGGAATTTCACCTGCCGTGCCCAAGTGTCCTGAACAATACACTGTACATCAGAACAGGCATTTTTTTACAAAGCGGTTCGCAATCAATTTCCCTCAACCTGTACCCGATCAATAGGCCAAACAATCCCATTGACTTGTGATTTCAGAATGGCGTTTCTTCGCCAAATTTATTCACGCCTTCTTTTGGATCTTCTTCATCCCCCCATATGGGGCTTTCGCTTGGAAGCGCGGCTACGGCTGCTCCGGTGGTTTCATCTTTATCCGCTTCGCATCATTTGCCAAACTCGACGACTCCTCCACCAACGATGGAAACGGCACCGCCAAATTGTAGTACTCCGACGAATACCTCCATGATTCCCAGTTCGATTCAAACTCAGCCAAGTAAGAACTAGAAACTCGTTGCAATAAAGCCTCGTATTATTCTGTCATCTTTACCCCCTTATTTAGGAATCGTCTCCCCCGAAGCCACGCCTGCCGAGGTGCTGCCCGGCCACACGCCAAGATCGACAAATGTGCCAGGCGCAGATGCCGCCGGAATAAATTCGGATCGTCTTGAGGATGGTTTGGTACCAAACGAGACCCCGGTTGCAAATAATAATAATGAAGCGTCATCCACGATTCCCTCCCAGAATCATGGCCTCTTCTCGAATTGGTCGCAAAATCAAGCCGCGCCGGATTGTGCTTCTCCCCGAACGCCGATTTTGAGCATGAGGTAAGGGAAAAATATGATAAAGCAATAAAATGATTCTTCTATGCCATCGTAATTTTTCCCAGTGGAAAAATGACGGAATGAAAATCATTTATGACTGAGTAGAAATATGAGACCTTTTCTGAGGAAAAATTTTTCCATGACACCAAATTCCGAAATTATCATTTTGTGTGAAAAGCACTGATTCACATGGAAATACTTTAAAATTTCCCCTTTTAGCAGCGCTCTTCCGCAGCACTCTCCGACCTCGTCACATTCCACGGCCAACGAGGGGTCGCCAACTGGCTACTCGACCGCCTTTTTGTCTGCCAAGACCGAGCCCAGCTCCTCGGCGCTGCCTCAAACTTCATCTCTCTCGTCCCTCTACCCTCAAGTGCCAGTCTCTTCGCTCAGCCACTCCGGTCTCGGCCTCGATCCTTCGATGAAAGCGGCGGCTGCTTCAGCCGGAGTCTCATTGGGCAACTCAAACCCGTCTGGCGCGTGGCCCTCTTCGGCCTCTCCGTGGCCAGCAGCAGCAGCTTCCGCCTCCGGTCTAGGCGGCGACTCGTGGTATGCGAGTCAAATGTCCGCCGCTGCCGCCCATCCTTATTCGCACTACGCCAATCCCTACACCGGAAGTGGCCTCGGCGCCGGACTCCATGACTCTTTTGCTGCACAGGTACTTGATAATACTTAATCAAGGCGGATTTTTTTATGAATTCAAAGTATTCAATTCAGAGAAAAGATCATCTACGATCATTTTTAACCCATTTTTTAGAATCTCTTCAGTCTCGGCGACGACCAACAGCCCAGTACTGACGATCTAGAACGGTTCGCACGTGACTTCAAGCAAAAAAGAATCAAGCTCGGCTACACCCAAGCCGATGTCGGACTCGCTTTGGGCACGCTCTACGGAAACGTCTTCTCCCAAACGACAATCTGCCGATTTGAAGCTCTCCAGGTAAAGTTATCGCTTTTTCTCTTTCTACAAAAGCTTATGGAAATTAGCTTTTGCCAAGGGTGTGATCATCACCGCAGGGTGAAGTCCGCAGTGTCTCACGTGGTTTTGAGAGAGAACATTATAAATGCTAATTTCACCCTCTTGATTTCTTTCCCAGAACATTTTCTCTAACTCTTTTCAACTTTTCGTTTTAGCTGTCGTTCAAGAATATGTGCAAGTTGAAGCCATTGCTGAGCAGGTGGCTCGATGAGGCGGATTCGGCGACTGGTGGAATGCCTTCGATTGGAGGGGATAAACTAAATCAACAGGTAATGATTGTCTTGGAATTCTAGAGCTGAGAATTGAAAAACTATAAAATCAAAACTTTAAGTGGAAATATAGATTAATCAGCCTTCATTTAAGAGACAAAAAAATAACAACTCTAATAGCCGAAAAATTTTTCGTTTGACTTCCCCATTATCCAAATTCCTTTTAGTTCCAAGGCCGAAAAAGAAAGAAGCGAACATCAATCGAGCTCTCCACCAAAAATGCCCTTGAAATGGAATTCGTCAAGCAACCAAAACCATCAGCAGCAGAAATCACCAACGTCGCTGAGCAACTTCAGCTCGAAAAAGAAGTCGTTAGAGTTTGGTTCTGTAACAGGTAAATTCTCGGCAAAAAATCTTCTTGATATCAAGGAAGAGAACTTTTGAGAAAATTCGCTATACAAAATCTTTAGGCGACAAAAAGCAAAGAGACTTCTTGGCCCAGAGCGAAAGAAACCCGATTCTACCGGCGAAAACCTCAGCGATTCTTATTCAACAAATGGATAAAATCGAAATTTTTATATTTTCAAAATTTTCATTCTTGCCATAATCATATTTTGTACAAATGTAACTGTGACTTCAAGCTCAAACCAATGCAAACTGTTCAGTGGAATAAAACTATACCAGCAAAATAAAAGTTCTCATTTCGGCAATCGATAATCCAGTTAGGGTTGAAAAAAGATACGCTGAACAAGCCTTGGGGCTATTTTCCGCTAGAGCGCGTTGAAATTTCCATAGAGGTTGAAAAAAGAAATGATATCTAGAATTAAATTAATTTTTGCCCAAATTCTTGTAGTGGCCTTGATTGTTTTTAAAATTTATACAGACAATATTTTAGAGAATTCTATCAAAAAAAAACCAATAAAAGAGGAAGATAAAATCTGCAAGAATCAACCGAGGTCGATTTTTTTCATGAAAACTCACAAAACAGCGTCATCTACCGTTCAAAATCTTCTTTTTCGGTATAACCTGCTTGTTTTTTTCATAAACAAGCCATTTAAAGCTATGGACTCCGACACAACCTCACAATCGGCGTTCCAAAAAGTGGTCGCCAGCACCATCTCCTCGGGTACCCACATTTCTTCAATAAAAATATGCTTCAAAAAACTCCGACTCCAGTACAACTTATCGCCAGCCATGTTCGATTCTCCGAAGATATAAACGAAGTTTTGCCAAATGCGACGAGAATAACGATTCTAAGAAACCCAGTAGAGCAATTTGTCAGCAACTTTTTCTTCTTTCATAAAATTGCCCCATTCAAGGCCCGGCTTGACTAATTTTCTAGCGAATCAAGCTTTATTTCAAAATCGAAAGCCTGCAAAAGGACCTCGAAGAAAGCATTTCAGGCCTTGAAGAATTCTTCAAGTCACCGCGAAAATACTTCGCTAGAAAATCTTGGGGGCAATGGATGGCGAAAAACTCCAACTTCTTCGACCTTGGTTTTTCGAATGACATTTCGAATGAATCTGAAATTCGCGAAAAAGTGGAGAAGACGATCGAGTACTTTGACTTCATCATGATCTCTGACAGATTTGACGAGAGCTTGATTTTGGTGAAGGAGAAATTTTGCTGGGATTGGGAAGATGTTCTTGTGTTTTCGAAAAATGTTGGCTCGAAGAATAATTTAACAATTTCTCGAGGTAAAAATCTATTTTCTTCAGCTATGATTTTAAACTTAGAACTCGAGAAAAAGATCAAATCCTGGAATCTTGCTGATTCGACTCTTTATTCGCGAGCACTCCAAAATTTTGAAGTTGCTATAGAATACTTTGGAGAAAATAGAATGAAGAACGAAATCGAAACGCTACGAGTCAAACGACAAGACGCACAAGAAAAATGCTCGACCGAGAAAGATACACAATCGCAAAAATGTAAATTACTTGGTTTCTCTGAACACGATTTTACGAATTTTATTTGGAATAAAAATGCTGCCGATAGCTAGAAATAATAAAACTAGGCGACATTAATTGAATCACATTTTGCAGCCCTGTTTAATTAAGATGAAATTGGTTTGCAGAAATTAATAGGAGTCGCAAACAGAATCGGTTTTTCAGTTCTTGCTCGTTGGCTTGCAATTACTTCTATCGATTCAATTTTGTTGTTAGAATCTAGAATGCTCAAAATTTATTATTTTAGTTCTTCGGGTTGATGAAAGAAAAGAATTCGAAATAAGCTGATTTGAACCAAAATCGAATTTTCCCGAATATATTTTCAGCATTCACCTAGGTTTATTTTTTGAATTTGAATATTACTGCCGTCCATCACCCCAGGAAAAATATAAATTGAGTTGTCAACTAGAATCGTTGATGACGCCGCGACTGCCTTGATGATAATTTCTCTTATAAATGTCTTTTCAAATTTCTACCTTTTTCAATTTTCCGACTGAAGACCAGTCATTATTCATCAATTGCCAAATTTCATCTGTTATCTTTGTTTTGAAACAATTTTGGTTTTTAAATGGAAAGAAAATGAATTTAAATAAAACTTATCATTGCTCAATTAAGGAGAAAACCAACTGCCTAAACGAATTGAGAAGACTTTGACCTCCGATAGTCAGGAGATTTCCCGAGGGAAGCCCGATAACATCGAGTTTGTGAAGATTCCTTGATTTTTTTTATCAATCTGCTTGCTTGAGTTACTTTACTTTGGATGTTTTGCCAACGAAATCCACCCTTTATCTGTCAATGTCTCCGTTTCTCCATTGGAAGATCCTCCAACGGCGGTTGGTAGCCCATTGTAATAGCCTAACTCGCCCGAACAATGATTTTTCTTCATCTCAAAAGACATTTTTCTTGAAGAGGAACCATCAAATTTCTCACAAGTTTTAGCTTTTCTTAATGAGCAGCAAATCATTGCTTCAAATTATTTCAATAAACTCTTTAACTGCAAAATAAACCTCGATCGCCGGTTTTTATCGACAAAACAAAATGGTCGCCAAAATCATACATTTCAGTCAATTTAACATCAAGAGGAGATAACTTGCATCCATCAAGCCGACTTATCTGAAATACAAGACAATTATCTTACAATGTCGTGAAATGGAATTAATCACCCTTTTTGGGTAAGCATTGCCCCCGAAAATATGTAGTTTAGCATTGACGAGTGCGTATCGTGATCTGTAAACGTACGCATTGATCGTATTAGGTCCAAACATATTTGGACCCCACGATGGCCCCCAGCCCACATTGGCCGGGAAATCTTTTCCTCCATCTATTTCTATTGTTAAATCATTCATCAATCCACTTTTAAAAAGAGCGTAATTGTCAATTTTGTCATTCTTTTTCGGTAGAATAACGTTAATTTGAAACGTATGATCTGAGTAAACGAAATTTTTGATTCTTGCGATTTTCTCGAATTTAAATATTCTGATTTTTTTGTTCTTAACATTTTCCAGTCCAGTCAAAGCCATTTTGCCATGAGAATTTTCTTTTTGATTCTTCAAGAGGTTTGAATATGAAAAGGAGTGATCTCCGTTTGCCCAAGTCGCCGTTTGCCAAACTTGGGGAAACGGAGATCTTGGGCAAACGGCGATGAGAATAAATTTATATTGATTGATCATAAAACATTATTTTGCTTCTCAAACGTCAATCCTAGCTTCTTCAATGCCAATCCTGGCTTCACTAACATTATTAATGTCATCTTCAATATTAGTTATATTATATCAATCATGGCTTCTTCATCGTCAATTCTAGTTTCTACACCGTAGATCGGATTGACTCAATCCTGGCTTCACCGACTTCAATCATGATTTCTGCAATGTCAGTCCCGGGTTCTTCGACGTCAATCTCGACTTTTCCAACGTCAATGCTGGCTTAATCAATTATAATACATTTTTATGGTCAATCATTGATTGACAATCAATCTAAATTAATTCACATCGCCGTTTGCCCAAGTCGCCGTTTCCACAAGTTGGGCAAACGGAGATCTTGGGCAAACGGCGACTTGGGCAAAGAGAGACCACTCTATGAAAAGAAATTGGTCTTGAGAAAATAAATAATTCAAACAATTCCTCAAGGATCATTAAACTTGCTCTTGACAAGTGTTTCGAATCAAAGTCAAGCTTGAGCGCTTTCAATTCTGATTTTTTAGAATCCAATAGTTTCTTCTTTTCGAGAAAATCCGACGTTAACCAAAGAGATCCGTCATTATGAATCCAGAAGGAGAGAAAATTCTGTCCTTCGAAAAGTCGGCATTCAAAAATTTTTACATTTCCGTGGCCAATCGAATTTTTCTTTAGAGTAAATTAAATTCTACAATTAAAAAATTACTACCTGAAAGTCAATTTCAAGTTGCATCATTTCTTTTTGGTCTAATTTAAGCTCCTGTGTGGAGATATGCTTTTGCTCCTCAAACGAAGAAAAGAAATTGTCCGGGATAATGTTTTTGAAAACCGATTCGGCTCTGGGAAATAGTCGCTGAGAAACAGCATTCTTTGCGAAAGCAGGAAAAATATCATCATGGTAAGAAAAATAAGGGTTGCTGGTCACGTGCATCTTTTTATTCGCCGTTTGTTGAACAAATTCGAGCTCGATGAGGTCTTTTTTAGGTCAAAAGTAATTTACAGTTGACAAGCTTTATTTTTTAAACCATTCCGTAATTAAACTCGATTTCGAAAGCACTCTCGAAAACATAGCTTTGTATGAAAATCTTGTCGTTATTTATGATAGCATTTCCAAAGTACTCGCATTCATCATTATTGATCCCCTTTTGATCCGTGTATTGAAGGTCCGACGAAGCGAACAATTTCGAGAAACAAATCGAAGGCTCTTTGTATTTAACAATGGATCCGATCCACTCGCTTCCGAGCATTAGATACTGACCTTCGGCTTCAAATAAGACTGAGTACAGCGTGTTTGATAGCTCGATACTTCTCGAGACAAGAACTAGCATCATTCGGCCGACATCTATCTTTTTTCCGTTTGAAACTTTTTCTTATATGATCGATTTTATATCATTGTTTCAACCGTTTTCAATGGAATAACATGAACAGGATCCAAATCTTTCAATTTCGCATGCAACGCGATCTCATTTTTACGCCATCCTTTGTCCATTTCTTCGCTTTTTCTGATCGTGTTCAAGGCCACTGTTGTCGAGAGTTTGATCCATTTTTCACCAAGCCTGACGCTCATCAGATAAAAGACATTTTTGAAGCCGATTGAAGATAGTTTGGCATTGAAATGATTACTCGCAATGAAGCCTTGTGCTTCTTCGAATCGATTTAAATTGTAATCGGGGGCGTAATAATAGCATTTATCCGATCTCCCAGTAGGTGAACTTTTAGAGGTCAAGAAAATTAACTCACTTCCTTTTTACTCTCGAACTTTACGATGATTTTGGCCTTTCCAAATGACAACAACAGAAAAAAATTTTCTATCATCCTCTTTGCGTCGAATCTCAATTTGGTGGGTTCCAATCGACGAGCCAAAGTGAAAAACAAAGAATCCGCTGAAAAATGTCAAATAAAAACATATGATAGAAAAATATGTTACATATCTTTCTATAAATGTCGATTCCTTCGACATATGCGGTCAATCTTCGGGATAAGTTACGTAACCGGGCTAAATGTTATTGTTAGGGGGGGTTTCGGGGGGTTCCAAGGGAGCTTCGGGTTAGGGCTTAGGATAAGGAACTGTGTTATTTTCTATCAGGGGGGGGGGGTCCCGGGAGGCGAAGCCCCCGGGTTTGGAGTAGGTTTAGGGTAGTTTATGAGTAGGTTTTTTCTTTTCCCCGAAGATTGACCGCGTATGACCCGATTCCTTACATGTTTCTATGTCGATTCGGAATCAAATTTCGATTATCACGATTTTCATCAATTCGCATCAGATTTCCTTTCGCATCAACAAGATAGTGCTGTCCATCAAGAAAAGCTGCACCAGTTGACTTTGCCCATGATTTCTCAATTATTTCAAATAATTTATTTGACGTCAAAAAAATTTTATAATCAAAGAGATTGAATCAAAACTTTCATAAGGTAAAAATGAGTCAGGAGCATTAAATCCAACTTCTTCAAATATCCCCGTCCAATCAACAAGAATAAATGGAAATTTTTGAATTGTTCTTTTTCTCTCTTCCCAACGCCCTGTTATCCAATCAATAGACTGATTATCCTCCGTTTGATTGCTTTTAGTCAGGTCTTGTTCATCTTGTCTTATTGTTATTGATTTGCCGATTTCAAACACCGGGATCAATTTTTGATGATTTTCGGCCAATTTTTCGCATTGATAAAAAAGACAAGGGCAGCCATTTTCGCAGTACTTCTGCAAAGGACAAATTTCTCCTCCAGATTCGGAAGATCTCGTCAGTCCAAAACAGATAGACTCGCAGGGAGGGTCTTTTCCTTGACTCCTTGTTGTTTCCATAACAAGGCTTTTCGAACAAATATGGCGGCAGATTTTCTGATCGTAAAACTGTTTCTTTTGACATCGACGCATGTTGACAATATTTTCTTCTTCAGAAAATTCAATGGCTTCGATTCGCTCGCTTTCGATTTTTGAAATGGGCTCAGGGAGGATGAACACTCCTGCTTCAAAACATTGCTTTATCAAATGCCCGCAGTAGTCCATTGAGGCGATTTGAACACATTCTTTATAGTTTCTGTGGCAAGTTGTCGTCAAAAAAGTTGAACTTCCACGACGTAAATTTTCCAAGGATTTATAATTTGCTAAAAATCAAAATAAATCAAAGTTGAAAGTTTCATCTCTTATGTGCTCCAACTTTCTTTTTCATGTTTTTTTCCAAAAAATATTTTTCGCAAGGCATTCTAGGCAGTATGCCTAGCCTTGCCTAGGCTTACCTTTTAGGCAAATATGCCTAAGGCATTTAGAACCCTGCCCTGAATTAAAGAGCCTAAAATAAGCCCCAATTCTAGTAAACAAGATTGCTGAAATGGTTCAAGAATAACCCCTCTCAATTAGGCTTTACCTATGAGCATGACCGTTATCCAGAAAAAAGAGCCAAGTGTCAGGTATGTTGATTGTTGACGACTTGTTGAAAAACCATGTGTAGCAAGACTTGTTTGCGCTGTTATCTTCGTAACCCATGACTTTCTTCTTTTCAAATGACGTTTTCGAGTGTGAATGCTTCGAGTTTTTAAAATCTCTTCAGGAAATAAGTAAACCTTTCCTTCCTTTTGCTTCAGAACGCCTTTGCAGTGACAATCCAAGCACTAAAAGTAAATCACCTTTTGAGTCTCGTTTCCATAAATTTTTAAAAGATTTTCAGTTGTTAAATGAAAAATAAACTTCATGATACTTGTAGTCGCTCTTATAATGAACAATCACTGTACTTGAAATTGGATTTTTTTTATTCGTCTTTGTCTAGATTACCATAACTCTTGGTTGATTAGCTCGAGCAGATTTTTTCTCTGCATCGTCTTCGAAAATCATCTTTCTTAGCTCATAATAGAGTGCTTTTCTGAAGAAAAAAATAGCACAGAACAAGTTTATGAGACTATTCTGAGTTGCCGGTTCCGTTTTTTGGCGTTTTGAAATGTCATTTTTGAAAATTACTTTCTCCACTCTTGAAATACAGTATATTTACGTGTTATGGTAGAAAATCGACCCTATGATCGCCTTATTTAAACTTAAAATTTAAAAAGAAAAAAATTCTGAGTTGCAAGATGATCATGCTGATCATTTTGTGACAAAGTTCATCGGAATCGAACTAGATTTTCGACCGCTAAGGAGCATCTGAAGTCACAAAAAATTACAATTACTCTTTGCACTTCGCATTTTCATCATAGCAGTCGGAGACTTCAACGCCGTTTTGATTTTCAGCGTCAAAAGTATTTGAAATCCAAATAATAAGAACATATTTTCATGAGTTAAATTTATGTTTATTTACAGTAAAGTTTTGTACAGTTTTTGTTAATCAAGGATTTGTGCGTTTTTCTTATTTACAGTCACTGCAATAATAGCTGATTCTATTGATCCGCCACAAGTTCGTTGTCGCGAAGGTTGGCATTGCATTCGGTTTTAGTGTTAGATTGAGGCAAGAAATAATAATTGAGGAATTCTTCTTTACTTCATTTACAGGTCGCGCGTTTTTACTTTTTGACTTTGCTTGCTAAATGGCTCTTCAGCAATTTGCCGATGATGTAGTCGGCTTCGATTTTTCTGATTCTCTCAGCTTGGTTTTCTTCGACGACGATTTCTGGCTCGAAGCTAGCGGATTTGAGGCGCACTTGTCGGGGCTCCATTAACTCAGCTTCCAACATCTTTCTTGTGGTTCTGATCGACTCGATTTTGAAGAAATTATCGAGCAATCGAGGAATGGTCTTTTCACCGGGCGCCATGAAATCGACGACCATGAGTTCGAAGTTGTGATTGTACAAAATAATCTGGAGCAGCTTGAGGTTCTCTTCCTTGATCGCATTCATTGCGTACTCGTAATCCTGCTCGCTCAATGCATCCTTCATCAGAGCATCCTGATGGGCGCAAACGAGAATGTCACACGATCGCCGTTCCGATTCAATTGGCAACTTGCAAAGTGCTCCTTCGCAGAGTCGCGCTCGCGTTTGCACACCGCTTGGGCATTTGCCCGTGCATTCGGACCATTCTGTCCATTGAGAATACGCCGCGATCTGAGCGGAAGTCGTTGTGGCGAGAGTAGTTGTCGTTGTAAGCACGGTTGTTGTGATGTCCTTGACTGGCTCGACAGTGGCATACTTGGTGGTGGTGTCGAGAGTGGTGAAATCAGTTGTGGTCATCGTGGTTGTTGTGTAAGCAGTTGTCGTGCTGACTGTTGTTGTGATTTCCACTGCTTCGGTTGTTGATGCCAACGTGGTTGTTGATTCCATCGTTGTCGTAGTCGTTCCAATCGAGGTAGTGGAACCATACGTCGTTGTTTGCTCGAGTTCTAGAGTTGAGGATGTAGCAGTTGTGGTGGTCGTTCCTGTTGTTGTGGATGTTCCCTCTGTTGTTGTTGTGAAGTCCGTTGTTGTTGAGAAATCTGTTATTGTTTCTTCCTCTGTTGTTGTTGTCGATGTTGTCGTTGTGGTTGTTGTCGTCGTTGTTGTTGTTGATGTTGTTGTCGTTGTCTCTTCGACGGTCGATGCTGGTGGAAGAATGACGAAGTCGTCGGTGTTCTCTGGAAGAAGCTTCTGCTTCTCCGGATCAGTGGATTGTCGAATAGTAGCCGGTCCATCAGAGTTCATGCTCTTTACAATCGCCTGTCGTTCCATTTGAACTTCAACAGCCGCGGGGTTCCAGCCAGGAAGAACTCTTCTGATAGATTCACGATGATTTTCGAACGACGGCTTTCGGGTTGTGCTCTTTCTCGAAGTCCTTGGAGCTTTGGTCGGTGGAGATTTTCCTCGTACTCGGACATTAGGGATTTCTTCCGTTTTCTGTTTCTTGCAACCTGCGCCAAAGCAGAAATCAAAGGGATTGGCAGCCCAGCCAGATGAGATTGTCGGTCGAGGGGTTGCAGCCTTGAGTCTGACAACAGGGGCAGTAACAGTCTCCATGGTTGTTTCGTAAAATCCTCCAGCGCGCATCATTGGTCCAAATCTGAAAAAGATTTGAACAAATATGAATTTCGTGAATGATTCTAGCGTGTCGAAAAAAATAAGCATGAAGGTAAAATACCGATAATTTCGAGTTGGAGCAGTGGTAGTCGTCGTTGTTGTCACCCGTCGAATTTCACTTCTTCTTGATGATTCATACTTACAACCATCTGCTGTTGAGACAAATTTATCCATGCAAACACATCTAAATCCAATCAAAAATCGGTCAAGAATATAGTTCCTTACCGTCCAGATTTCAAAATCTCTCCCTTCGCCGCATCACAAGCCCTAGTCGGGCAGTTCTTGACCCGATCGCAGCAGTTATATCCTCCATTACCCGAAAACTTACAAATCGGCGTCTCTCGTGGACATGGAGATTCGAATCCGCTCGCGCTGAAGGTTTTGAAATAATGAGGGCAATACCTGATCGTTGGAATTTCGAGGCGGAAGGGTTTTCCAGAGGGCCAAATGAGCCGGGTCTCTCCGACTGGAACGGAAGAAGAATCTGAACCCTGGACGGAGAAAATGGCCAGAGCGTCGTCAGAAGAAAACATGTTTTCGTCGATGAGCTTCCATTGGTCCTGAAAAGAGAAGATTCTAGTGGAGCCTGTTTTTTAGAAAAAGTTCATTAGATTACTCTTTTTAGAGAACCGAATTCTCTCCAATCACAAATGCGATCAACAACGCTTGAGCGGTGTAACAACACTGAACTTTTCAAAATTTACCAAAAAAGCCGCTTTGAAAAAATAAAAAAGTGAGCTGTGAAAGATCAAAAAACTACTTAATTTAATACTGCTCAAGTTTATTTTGAAATATGTTCGGATTTCGCGCGGACTGATGAAAATCCGAGCAAAGCGCATAACACGAAAGACGTTAGAGACGTTTTTACGCCGTTGGCGCTTTGATTCGCCGAGGGTAACATAAATTCTAGAGGAGCGCGAAAAACGTCACTTTTTTCTGACGTTCGTAAGCATGAGTTAAAGTTTTAAGAAGTCATTTTTTATGACGATTTTAAGGTAAGCTGTCTGGAACCGACAAAAAATTTCGACGAATTTTGCGTGGAAATTTTTAACCAATCAGAAGCCTGGATCCAGAAACCGGCAAATCAGCAGTGGAGAAGCCGCCCACGCAAAATTTGTCGAAATTTTTTGTCGGTTCTGGACACCAGCCCGATTTTAAGGGTGGGAAACCTGAATAGAAACCTGAGTCAGGGTAAGGGTAAGACCCAGATTCAGATTTTCTACAAGGGTTACTGAGCCCAGTTTCAGATCTGTTTATGTATCGGTAAACAGTACTATCTCACTACAGATTTCCTCTAAATTGATTTCTAAATCAGTTGTAACATCTTCGCTGCCAAATCTGGACCGGACGTGTCCAAGTCCGGCTTTCCCAAAAGCTGGATTAGAAGTTACCTTGATGTTGTGTTTGACAACGAAGAGTCGCTCCGATCCAAATTTATTTCCCAAATCGCCGTACACCGGGTACTCGTTCTGTCCAGCGTAGCTCACTCCCTCCACCAACTGCATGTTCCGGATGCGGTAGCGGCTCAATGGAGAGCTAGCACCATCTTCAAAGCTTTTTTTGTGGCTTTAAATTATCCTCGCGATGATTTCTTCAAAGAAAAAGTCAATAATTTGAACAGTCAAACATGATTCAGTAAAATTCTTGAGAAAAAAGGTCTTTTTGAAAAATTAACTGATCAAGTTTCATGATCTGAAGGGTCTTCCACCGCAGAAAGAGGCAAGAAAAAACGTGAGAACTTTAGGTAATGAGGCACCTTTCAGGTGAGCTCATGGGAATCTCTCCTTTTGGCTGTTTTCTTGCTTGGCTGCTTATGAGCAATTCACGGGCGAATTTTCATATGTCAGTAAGTGCGCGGAAATGCTCCGCGAAAATTCTTAAGGTGTAGTGCGAAACACTTTTGTCAAAATAAATGAAGAATCATTAGGGAAATAATTTTCTAGTTTTTTTAAAACTAGAATTTCTTCAACCTTCCCTAACCCTAACCCTAACCTATCAGAGTTATGGTCCTGAAACGCTGTCCCTCTAAAACATCTTTATTTACCCCCTATCTAATAGCCTTTAGCTTAATCTCTAATAAATAATATGCCGAACTTCGGAAATTGAATGAAGACGCGCTGGATCCGACCGCCGATTCAGCAGTCAACGTGGAGATTAAATATTTTTCAACAAAAAGAAACAACTTTTCACTTCGAAAAGGCGCGAGTTGTTTTAGCCGTTCCTGAGGAACTTGGGCGCGCACGTGAAGCCGCCAAGCTTGTTCAGGCAAAAGTAGTCCGATGAGCCGGCGCACGGGGCCAAGCCGCTTGAGCAGTAGTCGATTTCTTTGTGGACGGCGACTTGGAGGACGCGTTCTTCGGTGACGGGGCTAGAAATAATAATATGAAAAAAAATTATTAGAAAACAAATAAAAATAAACTCTATTGCAAAAGCCGCGCGCGGCTTTTAATTTCCATATTTATGATTAAAATACCGCATCGAATTTCTACAAAAGCCGCAAGCGGCTAAAATTTCTTTCAATTTTCTCTTCATTGAAATTTAATTCGAAAAAAGCCGCGCGCGGCTTAATTTTTTTTTAAGAAACCGCACTATTTTTCTCAAAGCCGCTTGCGGCTTCGAATTCAAGAAAAAAATTTGTTACGAAAAAAAGCCGCAATTTTTATCTTTCTTGAGAAGCCGCAAGCGGCTTGGTTTTTTCTATTTTTCAACTTTATGTTTTACCTTTTGTCCTTTCCGTAGTACTCAATAATATTTTTGGCGCCGCTGGAGACAATCCATTTCTGGTTATATCTGATAACCTTATCGCTTCCAACGTGGCGATAAAGGGGGCGTCCATTTTCGAACGAATTTTTAAATTTATAAAATCCATTAATTTCGGGGGCATAACTCGACTGCACGTTTAACACTTCTTCGGGGTGGCAGTAATTCCGGTCCAGGTAGAAGCCCTCCGCGCAGGCGCATTCCATTCGGTCGGCAGAATAGCTTCCAAACGGACCGCACCAGCAATCTAAAAAGGAGGTTTAATTGTTTGAAAGAGTAGGAAGAAATCGAAACTGTAAAAAAGTAACTGGCTAATCGCATCTCTCGCGCCCGGATCTGAACCAGAGACCACGATCTGACGAGCGGATTACCGGTCGGTGATTTGATTTTCTTTCACTTTTAACGCTTCAAAGTGAAAAGCTTAGATACTGTTTTCTCTTCTGTAAGAAAAGAAGAGGATATCATCTCAAGAAACACTGAGTTCTGGACTTGGAAACCTGCGTAGATAACCTGAGTCAGGCTCTGAAAAAGCTCTTATGAAAAGCCGCCATGCGGCTATTTAAAAATAAAAGCCGCAAAGCGCTTTCGGAAGTCATCATTATAATTCATTCATAAAATCGCGGCTTTTTTTTCAAATAGAAAAAGCCGCTCCGCGGCTTTTTGTTAATGATTCTTAAAATCGCTAAGAAATTTTATTTTCAGGAATTTTTTTCAGAAAAACTCTTGTAATCATGATTTTTTTCTTTGGGACTTTCGGTTTATTTTTTTACAAGTACTGCCAGGTGAGTCTCTTTTGCATCTAGAATTATCTCAGTGAGCGTCATAGCACTTGGTCAGAGTACTCTCGCTGTGGTCGTCGAATTAGCAAGATTGAAGATTGAAGATTAAAACGGCTTTGAAATGAAAAAGGTTCTGTCTCCTTTCAAAATGAACTTACCAGGTGCTTCGACTTCTTCAACATCGACTTGAATATTTTGAAAGTTGATCGTTTCCCAAGCCGTGATTTGATCCGGGCAGCGGTCGATTTGGCGCGAAAAAAGCTTTGTGTGGCAACTTGCGTGATCGCAGCTGGGCGAAGGCCCTGCGAAAAAGGGTTGATCAACTGATTAACAGAGAAAACGAGCTTGATTGCGAAAGAAGATCAGGTTCCACGGGGGCGGGTTCTGAATTCTCTTTTCCGAGCGAGGAGCGGGTAATTTTTGATCGTCCACCCACTTTTGATCCCTTTGACGAGGGCTGGCTTATCCGGGGCTCAAGGAAGTGATCCCTTTTAGGGGAGGGCGCGTTCATTAAATTTTCTGCCAAGTTTTCACTTTTGGAGGTCTTGGTTCACGAAAAATAAAGCTGTATTTTTAAAGGGGTAACCTCCATTTACTTCAATCATTTTTTAATATTAATTTCCCTCAATTAGTCTGATGAAACCCTTAATTTTGCACCTTCGAAATACTGCTTAATCTTTCTTTACAAAATTTAAGGCTCTCACTCTTTTATTTGCTGAGAAATCCTTTTCTGTAAAACAGACCGAAAAATGATGCTCTTTTATTTAAGGGGGTAAGCATCATTAACCCTACTATTTACTTATTCTTTATTTCCGAGAACTAGTCTGATGACACCCTTATTTTTTTACTCTATTGAAATTTTTCTTGAAATTTTTTGAAAAAATTTAAGGCTCTCACTCTTTTATTCACTTTTCTAAGAAATCCTTTTTAGTAAAAAGACCTGAAGCTATCTTTCTGAAAAACGTGTCTGTATCTGACCCTCTTTTTTTCTTAAGCCATTAGAAGGAAAAGTTATCTAAACGACCCCAAACTCAAAGCCAATTCCGCGATAACTCTTCAGGATGCCATTAACCGCGCCGCGCAACCTGTCTTTAGACACCTTGCGAGCGCAGGTTAAAGCTAAGTACTCCTGGTGGGAGAGGGAGTTTGGCATTTTATAAACGATTTTTGATCGTGCCAAAAAGCTGACAGACTTGTAACTTTTGGTGATTCAATCGAAAAAAGCTGGAAAAAAGCGAAAAACTGGACTTTAAAAATTTGGACAAGGCTTTAAATTTTAGCCACGTTTAATTTTGACGTGAGATAAACAGATTCTAAAGAGAATTACGAGGCCTTCTATTTCTCAAGAAAATCCCTGACCCAATCGGCTTACGCGCATCAAACCTTCAAGCAAATATTTACAAGTACCGACAGGTGCATCCCGCTTTATTTCGCCCCGTAACATGCTCCAAACGTGGGTTAAAATCTCGCTCGTCTGAAGAAGACTTTCCGAAAAGCCACAAATTCCAATAGAAAAATCTCTTGAAGAAAAAAGTGAAGAAAACCTCTGAGCTGTTTCTCCAACATTGCTCGCCGCAAAGTTGACCAACCGATCCTGAAATCCAACCTCGATCCGTGCGGCAGAGGAATTCGTCCGATGACTCGCTAAAATAAAGATGAATAAATAGACAATCTGGGGCGATGAAGAGCTCCTAGGGTTTCTTAAATGCCGTCTGTGCCTCTAAAGAGACTTTAAAAAATATCAGTTGAACATTTGATAAAAAAAATGGTTAAAATCTACCGGCTGGGCTCGGCAACCTGTGTAGAAAACCTGAGTCAGGCTTTGAAAGCCTCAAATAAGAATCTGCGGAGCGGCTTTTTCGAAAATGAAGCCGCAAAGCGGTTTCGCAACAAAATCACACATATATAATTAATTTATTTAATAATTTATCTTTATCAAAAATTGATAATTATATTATTTTTATTAATATAATTATATTATATAATCAAATCTTATTTTTAATAATTTATTTTAAAAGATCAGCAAAGCCGCTTCGCGGCTTCGTTTTTAAAAGAGCCGCTACGTGGCTTTTTATTTGAGGCTTTCAAAGCCTGACTCAGGTTTTCTACACAGTTTACTGGTGCCATTTCCATTTGCTTCATAGTTGGCTATCAAATTATTCGTCGATTTGAAAAGCTTACATTAAAAAAGTCATTTTTAACAGCAAATATTGCTTTTATGGTATCTACAACAAAATCTGAAAAACCGTAAATAACCCAAAATGTTTCTAAAGCTCAGTTTTAAAAACGACTTTGTTAGTCTTAAAGTTTGCAGAAACGGTTGGATAATGGAAGCGATCGATTCAAAAAAACGTGTCTACAAAATACGGATTACCTCATATTCTTGGTTATGTTTTGCTCCACGACAAGAAAACGCCCAAAACCGAGGTCATTTTCTTATACAAAATCGGACGTAAAATAATCACGCAAACATCAACATAATACCGCAAAAATGAGAGCATTTCTAACTAATGTCCAAGTTTATTTTCAAAGTAAAGTGTCTCTACTAAAATAGAAAATAGAAAAAATCTAAAAAAAAAAATCTAAAAAAGAAAAAAATCTAAAATAGAAAAAAAAACCCGAAAAAAACCTTTGATAGACAAGCATATCCGTCGCATCTCCAACAGTCCGGAAGACCTCGCCGTTGATTGTATAACGTGATGGGCAGGCCTTATCGGAGAATTTTCCTAAAAAAAAGAGTTTGAATTCTGAAGCTCTTGTTTTTCCGATACAAGAGTTTTTCCGGCTCGAGTGCGCTTTTCAAAGAATATTTCACATTTTTCTCACCTTTGATGACTTTGAGGAGCTTGTTCGACTCGCAGGGCTCAGCACAGTAGTAGCTGCCAGGGGTATTGAAGCAGGATTTTGATGAGGGACAGTTGTCAGCTTTTTTGGTTCTTATAATTTCGAGACCATAACTCACCGTATTTTTTTATATTTTTCAATTTTTGAATTTAGATTTGTGTTGATAATATAATCACATTTTCCCAATTGTATTTAGGTGTGTCTTTTTCATATGTCATGATCGTGGATAACGAAAAACTTTTATTGAAAAGAAGACGGTAACGGGAGTTGCACAAAATTTGAACCATTCCTTGAAGTGCGCACTCGTCAAAGTCCTCACAGACGGTCTTGGAAGTTAACGTGTACCCTGGGAGGCAAAGACACACGCGTTTCCCAGAGCGGATGATGCAGTCGCCGTTTGTACAGTAGTTTTCGCCTTCTGCGCAATAGCCTGAAAATGGTCGATTATTATTGTATTACAAAATCTATGCTGAGCGGTTTTATTTAACGCGTGATCAAGTGGATAAATTAATCAGCTCCTCCATACTTCAATAGGTAAAATAAAAAATCATTTTGTTTTTATGATTTTTATGGTTTTTCGCCATTTTTCATGAAAGTTTATACCAGCTAATCTCGTCCGGGATCTCATTCTCACTCCCATCAGATAAAAAAGCATCCTTTAGAGGTGTCTAAAATACGAAAGCCTTCCGCAGTTAAAATCCGTTTATTCCTAAAATTCAGCTTTGTTATAACAACGCAGTCTAATAATTAAGACTTTTTACTCGAAAATAACAAGAAAAGCTGCAGCTGGGTTATTGTATTTACAAAATTAGCGTTTATTTTTTAAGATTTCGATTTTGTTAAAAAAAATAATTGAATTTTCTAACTCGCGGTTAACTGTTCAAATTCAGTATCTTTTCAAGAGTTATTCAAGAGCGCTACAGTACCCTTGATTAGGATTTCAGAGAGAACTGGCCGCTAACCGTTTTTTGCAACGATTACATAGCTCTCTAGAATTTCGGGAGATGATTCCCATGATCGCGGAATATTTTTCCAGCGAATTTCTTTCCGAATTCCAAAGACCAGTAATTTCAAAAAACGCTAATGTAAGAACATATCTGCTTCGGCCATCGAATTCCGCGGAAATCGTTCAAGGGTAAATTTTTGAGCCGAAAAATTTAGCTTCGAAAATGTCGTTATTTTAACGAATTTTCGAGCCGTCGACTTTTCGGGTCGAAAATCCGTTAAAATGGCGATTATTGTTGGGAAAAATTTTCACTTCAAAACAGCGAAAATAGCATTTTTCTCAAATTTATCTTCATCAACTTGCGTCAAGTACCTACACTTGTAATATAGTCATTTATCATCATGACTCAAAATCATACGTTTCATAATTCACGCTCATGTTTTTCTAGTGCAATTTGCTAATTTTCCATATCAATTTTTTGATAAGGCGAATGCGGATATGCAAGAATTTTCAAACTTTCATTTTGGCAACAGAAAAAGAAATTTTAAAGCCCTTGAAATTTTTGAAGATTAAATTCTTTTTGACGTTGACGTTTCAAAAACAAGGTTGTTTTTCTGAGTGGTGAAAAAATTAGCAGTGAGGATTTTTTGTAATTCCATGGAACGAAGACGTAAAATCAGAAATCAGAGCCTTTCGGGGGATAATCGGTTTATCCAGCTGCTGATATTTTCCCAATTCTCGGCGGGCCGCTGTGTTCCACGAGAAAAAAATCATCAGATTTTCGCAAGAACTTGGGGGTTTTCAAAATGAGAAATTTAACAAAAATGCTTACACCATAAAACCTTAATTTTTTTGAAAAAATGGACTTTAAGTTTTTTGATTTTTGAGTGATAAAAAATTTAGATTTGTTAGATAGACCGAAATTAGATAGATTTAATCTTGAGAAAATGTTCGACTGAAAAATGAAAATGCACCGTGCGGCGATGATCATTCGTTTCTATTGGGGCAGCGCACTTTGGACTGCGCTCCACGTAATGCTGAGCCCCTTGGGCTACTTCCGTAAAAGCTCGCTTCTATGATACCACCGCTAGTAAATATCCATCAATACCTAGTACGCAGTTATTGTATCTTTTTCGTTCTTTAGAAAAATCAATCAAAAAGCTTAGCAAAAATTAATCATCATATAAGATCGTTAACCTGTGCGGAAAACCTGAGTTCTGAAGAATTTATATCAAAAGCCGCGCAGCGGCTTTCTGAGTATCGAAGCCGCTTTGCGGCTTCGCATCATAACTATTTTCATGATCTTTTAAAAACTGGCGAAGCATATGCGGCTTCGTTGAAAAAAAGCCGCTGCGCGGCTTTCCATTCGAGCATTTAAAAACCTGACTCAGGTTTTGTATACATTTTGCAGAGCCGAAAAGTATGTCATCATTATTTCAGCAATATTTTATAATTTAGAATCTGAAAAAACTTTGAAAAAATTTTTGATTCGCTTTTATATATTTTTTCAGATTCGACCTCAATCTCGTCTCTAAGCTCAAGCCTACTCGTCCAGCTTGAATCGGTTTTTTCAAATATTTACGCCTCCGATAAATAGTGGCTCACAAAACTAACAAAAAACGGCTGTGCATAAAAAAAGGAACGGTTCAATTCAGTGTTGGCCAAGGAAGTCTTGATAAGGAAGCACGCTCAATTTTTGCCCATTTTCATGGCGAGTAGTCCCGTTCGCTACAAATTAATCATGGGATTATGCACAACGGCGTGTCCGCCAATTCGATTAGCATGGCGAACCAACGACGACTTACTCCATTTTTCGGTAATGCAGGGCTTATCTCTTGTTCAACACAAGTTAAATAAACACACATTGAATAATCCGATGAAACTCTGCAAGAATCGAAAGAATCAGAAATAAAATGATGCTTACGTAGAAATTGAAAGAAACCTAAGGTTTTTTGAGCAATCCAAAAACGCCTCTGACAGATTAATGATCCAGGAAAGATTAATTTCTAGAGACCATAAAGTACTCGCTATTGATATTTTGCTAAGAGTTATTTAAGGCGAAAGTTTCGTTAATCGAAGGATGTACCCTTAACCCAAACAGAGAGTAACCCATTAATTTCGGGTAAAACCAAAATATGGAGTTGGTTTTATAGATCAGGGTTTTGATTGACCAGTATAATAACCAATAAGATTGCCGTATTCGGCTAACCGGCCAATCAGAACCTTGATCTATAAAATCCACTCCATATTTTAGTTTTACGCAAAATTGATGGGCAACTCTTTGTTTCGGTTAAGAGTACTTCCTTCGATTAAGCCTTGAATATTTTCCTTATTACCCTATCTTGAAAAAAATCTTCATTATGATTTCATCAATAATTTTGTCAACCATACTTTTGCTCGTCATCTCATTGTTTTGAGAAGGAAAATGACAAGGAAAACTGCGGATAACAGCGGACTCTTCGTCAAAAAGAAATTCTTTAGAATTGTGCGTGTGTATTTTGAAATGAAGGCAGCGTGTATTTTAGTCTGCTCGAACAACGAAATTATCATTTAACCGCTGTTGCTAGAACGTCTCGTTGTTTTTCGAGTTCTTTCGCAATTTTCGACCCAACAAGTCGCGATAGATTAGAACTTACCGTCGTCAACAGAGGCAATGACCAGTTTAGAATCGTCAAATCCGGCCCAGATGACCTTCGTGTCATTTTCATCAGTGCCAGCGTTGTAGAAGGGGAATTCTGATGAGCTGGTCATTTTCAGGAAGTATTCGGAGTCGATTGCGGTTGAAGTCGAAAGGGTCCAGAAATCTTCTGATTCTCCAACAACGGAATCCTGGAATTAAATTTGATCAAAGGATGACAAGGAAAAATATATTTTTGGAATTGTATTCTAAGATACATTCCGGCCTGCATACATGGAGCAAACGCAAGGTAATGCTTGAACGGAGCTATCGATTTTGAGGAACAACAGAAAATACATAAAAAAAGAAAAAATGGGATTTATGGCTCTTTCTTAGATATCTATCGTCTAGAGATTTTGATAGCTAATGATTATCATAAGAAATAATAAATTCTGTTAAGGGGGTGGTGGTCGAGAATTATTAAATGATTTTATATTTTCTGCTTTAACTTACAGTTATTTAATGAAATAACATAATTTTTTTTCTCAGACAACCTATTTTTAGCGTCAAAATCATGTTGAGACAAATCAGATTCAAAAAAATGGCCAAAAATGACCAAAAATCGGAAAATGTCGACTAAAAAATAGCGAAAAACGCGATTTTGGGTCGACTTTCACTCTCGATTTCGTCATTTCTCCCTTAAAATTTTTTTCTTAAACCTAGCCGCCCACACAATTTCAACCCTTTTTAACTTATTAAGATTAAGAACGAAAAAATTTTTTTTTGAAAAAATTGAGTTTTTTAGGTTGAAAAAATCCTAATTCTCGACCACCACCCCCTTAACTCATTTTCTGTAAATTTTACAACCCAATATTATATTAAAAGCGAACGGTTGAGAGTTGTTACTCGTTAATTTCGAACACCAGTGAAAGAATCAGGTCTTTCGGAATCAGACTATTATAGTAGGGCTTGTTTATCGATGAGCTACTCTTCGGCAGGTTTTTGCTATTCTTGGTTAGGGTGAGGGTTTAGAAACAGCCTTATTTTGTGAATTACTCAATGCATCATAGATGGTGCAGAGTTATAATGGCGCCGACATATATGGAGGTGTCTTTCGCCGGTAGGCTATATTTTTCCGAAAAATGGCCAAAAAATCTCCCTATTCGAAGTGGATTATTTCAACCGATGCTGACACCCAAATCCGAACCCTTACCCGAACCAAAACTCAAACCCGAACCCGAACCAAGAAGAATGTGATAGTCTTTTGAATAATCAAAAAAATAAGCACCATTCATTTGCCGGTAAGGTCAAAATAAGATCTTGGCCGGCTAAGGCTCAAAAATTATTATCCAAAATTTGGGTTTTACAATTTTAAACCAAATTTAAAAAAAACGCAAAAGATCGTCTTTTTCGTTAGTTTAACCCGTGACAATACGCCCTGACCCCACATTCGTGTCGGACAAAACCAACTCATCAGAGCCTGTCGTAATCGCTGCGCGCACAACTTTACTTTTTGGTGGTGCGATTTAGCGCCTAAGCGCGTAAAAGGTTTTGAGCCCGGGTCAACCTCAAGGTCGCCGCCGCGGTTCGCTCCACCCTACAAGTCAAATGAATTTTCGCGCCAGATTTCGCGGAACAGAAACACCCTGATTCGATGATTTGATTAAATTGAAAATAATCCTGATGAAACTTCGTAATTCTAGCGCTTTTTCGGTTCACCTGGGTTATTGGACGTTACACCCTTAATCTTTCAACAGTAACTTTCCTCAAACCAGTAGTACTGATTAAGGGCGTGCGCTCATTAAATCATTGCCAAAGCAAAATTCATGAACCGTTTTATTTTTGAAAATATTAAGGGTGTCAATTCATAAAATCATTTCGGTAGAAATCGAGGAAGGATTCGAGAGAAAGATCATTAAAATCGATAATTATTATTAAAAACTAAAATATTTGAAGAGAATATTTGAAAAAAATGCAAATTGATAACTCTAACTCATGAAAAGCGAAAGTCTTACTTTATCAGTTTTGGTGATGTAGAGATAGCTCTTGCTCGTCAAATCGGAAGTGTCGAGGATTGCGGGATGTTCGGAGCGGTAAATGGGCGCCCCATTGTTGTCGTTGGCTTTTAGATAGATGTACCTTCCGTCGTATTGAGGGGTGGAACCTTATTCGGTTAAACGAGAATATTCAACTACGGTATTTCTTAGCTTTCTTATCAGTGCGTCTTACGTAGAGCTGTGGTGTTCGTATCCCGCTGTGATTCACGAGCGGAGAGTCAAACTCGAGCGGTGATAGTGATAAGGGTATCCAGTTCGGTAAAGAAAAAACAATCATCTAGACTCTAGAGAACCGATAAACCAAAAATACCATAATTTTTATTGAATTTTTTTCTTTATATATTTTGTTTATCTAGTCCTCTTGAAAATTGTCAATAAGTGTCCAGAGAAGATCTAGTTAATGCTAGTTGTTGTTAAAACCGTAAAAATGAGTCGATTTGATTTCAATTCATTTCACACAGAAAAGCTCGATTCCGCCGTAATTCGCCAGATCAACGTATATTTCGCTCTTTGGCGAATTATCGAAAGGGAACTTTGGAATTTACGTGGAGCATCAGAAATTGGTGCTCCAAGAAATCGCAAGCTACAAATTAAGGGATTCCTAAATTCAGCTACTGAATAAAGTGAATTTCAAGGGCGATTTTCACAAACGTGCAGCGAGAGAATGAAGCTTTTTAAAACAAAGTGCTTGAGTGTGTTGAAAAAGCTTGATGATTGCGTGTTTTTCAATGGCCAAGGTAAATGTGTAATCAGATCCCTGTGAAATTGTAGAGTTTAACTATGATTACCACGACTAGAAATGGATCCGTGTTGGAATATAGCATCAAATTTATAGAAACAAAAAAATATATATACGTTTCAAAGAATAAAAGATTTATGGTTTCTCCGTCATTTTTTTAAAATTTCAATCGCCATCATTTTTGCTGGAGAGCAGTTTTGTTAAGGACACGGCCTTTCGCCGATGCCCCAAAACTTTAAATAACATTACGAACGAAGAAGTATCGCGTGCTCAACTAACGCTCGAAAACGCCGGAAAGCTGGTGACAACTCTTCAAAAAACTTTCAAAATCTAAAAATAACTAAGCCCCTCCGCAACTTCAAGACTTCAAGAGTTATCCAAGCCTCTTTCGAGCCGAAAATCCAGTATTTTTTGCCATGAGAACTGTTTTTCAGAAGCGGAAGCGAAATTTAAGCTATGCGTTGTCCCAAAAAGCGGATTAGAACCAATTCAAAAGGTCAATAACAACATCCGGTCCCGGACCAACTGCTATTTCTTTTTTTCTTTTCTTTTTGAGTGAGTTGAGCATTGCGCAAAAATATGATCGGTGTTGGCCTGCCGTCGAGTTCCGCTCGACAGGGACAACCATATCGACTTGATATTTTCGAACTAATTAGGCGTATAATCACGTTTTTGATTTCGATATTACTCAAATGATTTGGTCAGGCCGAGAGAAACCTGGATTAGATCACAGCTTTTCAAAGTTTTTGGCTCGAATTTTTCCTGACACTTTTTAAGGTCGGGCTTGTATATTTTTAAGGGCAATACCTTTGATTTGTCAAATAAAAGAAAGTTGGGGAAATCGAAGGTTATACCCTTAAAGGAAAATGAAGATCAGAGGAAGTTTTACCTCCCTTAGAAGTTTTGATTGATTTCAGCTGGTAACGGAAATTCTCTTTTTATTGTCATCATCAAATCTCGCCAAAAGATGCAAAGCGCCATTTGAATTTCAAGAATTCCAGCTGTAACAAATGATGCGCTAAAGAGCTCATTTTTTATCGGGGAATATAAATGGCCCGAGATATTTCTGACATTATCGTTTTGCTAAAATGAAGCTCAAATAAAGAAGATTTTTTGCTTCATGATTTGATTTTAAGATTATGAAGCTTGAGATATTTTTTATCAATCGCGTTAATTTTTTCATGCTTTCGCGCCACAAATCCGATAGGTTTTTGCCCGAAAGATAAATATGGAAAACTATTATTTGTTTGTTGTCCTCTTCAAATGGTTTAATAAAAAAACTGTTCTTATAAAATTTTTCGATTTTGTTCGGTCTTCTACCAAACCGACCAAAATATCAGTTGGTACAGTAAATCCGGGCGATAGCATCAGTCTTGGACAACTGACAAAACTGATAAGGTCGTTCTTCCCTTTTCCTATAGCTGGAATTCCACTAACGTACTTTCTATTTTAGAGGTCAACAGCAGATTGTGTAATTAACAAGAATTGAATTTAGAATAATCAATCAGATTCTAATTCAATTTGTTATTTCAATTTTACCAACTGGGGCCACCATCAAACTCTGTTTGGAGCAAAATACAGAGCATTAGCACTGTTCTAAGAAATCGTAAAACAACGATTGATGAGTTGGTGGAAATAATCGAGCGATGAAATCGTGTTTTTGCCGAAACTCGCTAATCGTCGTTATGTACAAACACTTGAAAATTGAGCTTCTTACATAACTTCTCAAGGAGCCTTTCAATTTCCGGCTGATCCACTTTTCTATAACAAGTGCTGAAAAAATAGAAAGAAAGAATGGATGTTTTAGCAAGAACTTAAGGGCATCCACTTTTCGATTGTTTAGAGATCGAGTGCAAATTTAGCGAGAAAAAGTACTTAGAGAGGCATTTCTTGGGGAATATTATCGAAGACTTATGAAAACTCTGTTTTTGAGATGATTATTTTGCTGTTTTATCATTCTTACTCCCTTATTTTTTGCAACAAATTGGAGGAGGTATCAGGAATAAAAATCCCGACAAATTTTTCGATGTCTTTGTTTCAACCAATCAGAATTGCACTCTGAATTGCCAGGTGTTGTCGCGACACAGTCATCAAGATTTTTACATGTGGTAATCACATCCGAAATGTACACGCACATGACTGTATCCCAATCACTATACGACGCAGCATCATTTTGAAGATCCATCAAAGCCCAGTCTCCAGTAGCTGGGTCGATGTAAAAAGCATTTCCATTCGAGAGCTCCTGAAACGCGGCTTGAGCAGCCGTGTTCGATTTCGAACCCCAGAAATTAACGAATCCGTTGTTTGCATTTCCCGGTTTCAACGGCTTGAGAAGACCTGGCGGAAAGAAAATGCCATTTGTCGTTGTTTTGTAAATCGTTTCGAGTCCAACGATTGCGTAGATACCAGAAACTGAGCCGGTGTCAATGACTTCGTTAATTCGATCGGACCACCATTGATTTTGTGATTCCATCCAAGGGTAGATGAGCTGCTTTCCGTCGATTGAACAAGCGGCTTGAGCATCAGAAATTGAGAGAATTTGTCCACTGAGTTTCTTGATCGCTGCCCAATTAAACTGCATATTTGGATGATCATCTGTGGCAAAATCATAAGGCCCTGGAAGAATAATTTCTCCGGATAGAACTCGCTCGTATCCGAAATTTGACAAACTCGTGGGTTTCGCATCGAGAGCACAAATTTCCTTGTCGATACCGGGTATGATCTCGCTTCCGACTTTGTAATTACCGGCGAGGAAGGGGATCATTGCGCATTCTTTCCAATAAAGAGAGATTTCCGAAACTTTTATCGCCGTGTTTCCAAAGACCAGTTTGATTTGATTCGTCACTATCGCTGAGTCTTTGGGTCTGAACTCGAAAGTGAAGAAATCATCTGTCGGAAGAAGCTCTGAAATCAGTACATCTTCGTATACATTCGTCCACGAGTCGATACTGTTATAATACGCTTTGACAGAGTTGTGAGAAAAGCCCTTGAAATCGACATGCTGATTCATCGGGTGTTCAGAGTCGAAATTCGGAAGATAGACGATCTCGTAATTGAATTTGATAACAATTTTTTCGAAGATGACTCTTCCGAAATCTTCATACCAGTTTCCATCCCCGACAGTTCCGTCGATGAATCGAAACGTTAGTTCGTATGGTCGGTAGTCTTCTGTACAAGGCTCTTCAAAAGAAAACCAAGTTGAGTCGTCCCCGTCAAACATGTTTTCAACGTCAGAAACATCGTAATCTCCAGTGACTTGAAGTTCGACATCGATGTTTGTTGAAGGACTCATAAGAAGATCTTGAGACGCGTTGTATCGAAACCAGTCGCTGGCAAGGAGAGGAGGAGTATAAGTTCCAGCAGGATCAACATGTGGTCCGTTTCCGCTCCAAATAATGTCTTTGTAGAGATTAACTCGTTCGTATTCGCATATGTCATCAGGCTCATCAATTTCTCCGATGAATCGAATCGTCGTGCACTGAGTCTCTGAATATTGACCAGGAAAGACCGATTCGCATTGACCACACAAGGAATGGTCTGAATTGGTGGAAGGTGAGAAGGTGGCTGACTTGCCAATCAGAAGTCTGAACTCGGCTAAGCGGCCAATCAGAATTTTTTATTTGGCAAACAGGCCAATCAGAAGTCTTGATTCGGCTAAGCGGCCAATCAGAAGGCTTAATTTAGCTAACCGACCAATCAGAGTTCTGTATTCGGCAAACTGGCCAATCAGCAGCTGAGAAGCGTCGAGAATCCGTTAAAATGGCGACTTTTTGAGTTTCCTCCATTTCTTTAATTCCGGAAAAAACAAATTTGCAGAAAAAAGTCGTTTCGACAAAAACCTCGAAATCCAACCCAAAATCTTATCAATCAAAAACTGCTGCGGTTTTTGATTGCCCCGTTGTTCGCACGTTACGTTTTTGACTGTGTTTATTATCGTGTGTCATAAATTTCATCAAATCAATATTTCCGTGCTTTGACAACACGTTTTCAGCGGCGGATGTCGACTCGCGCCAAGAGGATCATCCCTTCCTCTTCAAAGCAATAATTAGCCATATTCAATGGAACAGATAAAGGGCAAAACGTTTATCATCATTTAATATCATTTAATGTTGCATCGGAACTCGGGCTTTCGCGGCAGTAAGCACCTATTTACCAGTTTTGAGTTTGACTGACAGTCAAAATCATTATTTTTCTCATTAAAAATTGTACTTTTTCAATATTTCTTTTAAAAAATATAGAAAAAATGGGCAAAACCAAGAATAAAAAGTGATTTTCTGGATCTTCGTTTTGATTGGCCGGTGGGCCATATACAGCAACTCTATTGGCCTTCCGAAAATGCACTTCCTTTTCTTGTTTTGTGCTAAAAAAATAGAAGAATTTCTCCGAAATATTTCTGCTAAATTGTCTGTGATAGATTTTCTATTTTCAATCTGGTCGTCTCTTCTTGCTAAATATTTATAATCAGAGCTTATTTTTGAGCCTCACCATAACCATTTTTAAATGAATCTATAAAAGAAACTCTGATCTATAATCGGGGCTGCCCATTTTTAGTCAACTTTTTTATGATATTCCTATTTTAACTGATTGATAATTCGATAAGAGGGTTGGGGTAAGGGTTTTCGTTTAACAGCTCTAACCCTAACCCTAACCCTAGCCCTGACCCCCTTAATTAGTGGCCAAAGTAATATAAATGCCCTTAAACCTGATTTATTCAATTCATTTGCCCTTGAATCAATTTCAATTCCGCCAGCTAGTCCGGATATTCTTAATGACTCAATTACCAGCAATCACAACATTGATCAAGCGGGCCCCTTGTTCCACCACAAAGTTCCGGAAAGCTCGTTTCAATTTTCCACTTTCACATAAAATAATCTCGCTTTTCCGGGAATCATTGCCAGCCGAGCAAGTTTAAGATGTTTCAACAAAAATCTCGAGGGCCCCGCCGGAACAACGTGGTTTGTAAAACCCTTTTGAAACAGGAAGAAACTTTTCAAGAGCGAAAGAAGAATCGTAAATTTCAAACCAGTTTTTTCAGATTCCGTAAGAAGGAGGAGAAGTTGTAATTTAACGTGGCTCGGGTTGAATATTTGGAAGTTCCGATCCGCCGATCTGCTGCTTTAATGACGGCGAAGGAGTTTATCGCGCGGGCATTAATTTTCGTAAACGTCGGAACTCAGTTTAGACACAGCCGTCAAGGTGGAGTTCCGAAAGATTGCAGCTCATTAAAAATCATTAAAAAAGAGGTTGGCATCGGAGAAAACAAGGCGAGAAAACTCGGTGTTTAAAAACCGAGTCCTTAAAACCGAAAAAAATAATTATGTGACACCCTTAATTTTATTTTTTTTTGAAATTCTTTTTTTGAACAAGAAGTTTGACCAAAAATAATAGTTTTTTGAGATTTAGCCCGAATCGACAATGGTGACCAAAAATTTGGTCAAATTTTTAACCAATCGAACTTTCGAATTTGTGTGATGGGCCAATCAGACTAAAGAAAGGATATTGTCATAATTAATCGATTCTATTTATTACATTTTTTCCAGAAAAAATTGTTTTTCGATGCAAACCCCTTAAAAATGAAGAAAGTTGTTGAATGTTTACTAAATGCAGTGAACTGAAGAATAAAGGGTATCAGTACGAGAAAAAGTCTTCGTGTACTTTCAAGAAAAAGAAGACGGAATTCGAGAAGAGCATAATTTGATAATAGTTTTGAATTTGAACAAAAGCAGATTTAAAACCACGACAGAGCTGGACCGGACAAGCTCATGGTCAAAACAAACGATCTTCTAAAACAGTTGAAAATATTTATTTCTCCGGCAAATATTGAAACTCCATCGCCACAAGTTCGACTATCAATCGTTTGTAAACACAATTAATACGCTATCAAGATGTCGTGGTTTCAATTCGATTAATTAATCGAATCGTCGTACCATATTTTGCGACAGTTACTACCGTAGCTCAGTTTCGGCGAAAATGCTAAATAGACGGGAAATAATTCAAGAGCAAAGTCAGTGGAAAGCTTCTTACATATTCAAAACTCTATCGACCTTGATAGAAATCTATTGATTCACCGATTTTGAATACCGTTTTTTTGACAGATTTTTACATACTATGTAAAACTATAGTGACACCCTTATTCAATCAAATTAACAGATTCAATCTATCCTCAAATATGACATGAATTAAGGTGGTAGATATCAAGAATCGCCATTTGGCTTCAGCTGTCTCTCCAAAATTTTTCATAGTGACACCCTTATTTTTCTCCGGCAAATAAAAGTTTACACCTTCATCTACTTTCGATTGAAGCTGAAATTCAATATTTCAAGAATTTTTTTCATAGAATATATTATCAAAGACCTATCCCACTTTGTTAAAAACTCTCATTTTGACGACAATTAAAGGCGTCAGATTTGCATTGTAGCAAATGGAAAGCTCAAGATATCTCAATTTTTGGCTTTAAAAGGAAATAGATAATTGCCTTTGATTAATTTTTAGCAGAAAAAATAAGGGGGTTTCTATGTTAAAAATTGAAGAAAAAGACTGCAAGCAAATCCGATTCTTGATCTCTACCCCCCTTAATTTTGACAGAGCAAATGATAAAGGAGCTTTTCAGACAATTCATTCAAACTGTCCTTAGATTCGTTTTATTTCTGCAAGATAGACAGAAATCTGACAGAACATCTATCAAACGTTTTGCAAAACGCGCTGTGGAGCAGTTAGAGCATTCCGGAAGTAGCTCGGCGGGTCAATCATTTGGCCCAGAGAGAATTTGCACACGTTGGAGAAGAATACAGCCTTTCTTTCCTTTTTGGGAGATTAAGGGAATCGCTAATTATACACAGATATGTGGAATGGTAAGAGCTTTCTCAGAGAAGCAGCGGAAACGGGGATGGAGCAGGAGGAAGCGGCTGGGAAGACATGATGATAGAAGGTCTAAAAAGATGGCGGGAGAAATTCCTTGGTTTAAAAAATGGGCAAAAAAAGCAAAAATGATGGAAAGAAGGCAAAAATCGACGACAAAAACGACAAATGAGTCCAAATTAAGTCAAATTTTTATGGGCCAATCAGATTTCCGGATTCGGCCAAAAGGCGAATCCAATTTCAGAAAAAATTTCGCTAAGATTTGAGTTATTTTTTCAAAAAAAAACGTCCAAAAATTTAATTTTTTTCAACAAAAAATATATTTTTTCCATTTAAAAAATTTCATTACGCTCGTTTAACCATTCCTGATATTTTTATATAATCCACGAGGGCATTTATCGGCCCCAAAAGGGCCAATAAAACCGATATTTTCTTCATATTTTCTATCTGCCGCTTGTGCTTTTGATGTGTTTCTTAAATTCTCTTTCAGAAATCTCTCAGTTGATTTTGGTTATAAAAAATGTTTGTTGTTGTTATAAAAAAAAGCGCAAATAAGTTTATGTTTGCATAAGTTTTTTTCAAGACTAGCGATTGTTGCCAAGAAGACGAAGAGAAAATCGTCAGATTCGAAGCTTGCCGATTTGGGCGAGGGCGCTCGCGAGCGACGCTTATTTCGTGATCGCTCATGGTACCCAGCGCGCGGTAGTGAGATGAAGATTGACTCGCGAGCGCCGCCTAGGAAGATTTTGACTTGTGTGTTTTCGGATGCGACGCGCGAATGTGGTGTAAACCAAGTACTCAAACAATATACGACATGGCGTTTGCTTATGATGTCATGAAGAAAAGCATAGAAGGAACGCAGAAATTGCTCAACTAGCCTTTGAATGATGTTTTAAAAACCAGGTCATTTCTTTATCTACCGAGATTTCGGAAATGGAAAAACCATAACGATCATTTTCAAATGATAAGTTTACTTATTTTTCATTTCAAAACTTTAGCAAATGATAACCAAAATTTTCAAAATCGTTCTGATTCGTGATGTGACCAATAAATGTGATCTGATGCAAAAAAATAACAAGGAATTTACCATTGTTATAAAAGGTCACAGAAGGCTTTGTCGACCGAATACATGTAATAACCGAAAAGCTGAGTTAACGAAGTTGACCTATTTGTCTCCTTTTTGAACATTGCTTGAAGGAGCTAACTATTGACAGCTTCATCTAGTAATTGATACATTGTTGAGTCAACAATCGTGGAAAAAAAAGTTACGTTGGAGTGATTAAGTAATCCAATCCGATCAATGTCACAACTAATCCTTCTTAGTTTTCGACTTGTGAGATGCTCCAAGAATGGAGCAGTCGTAACATATTTCACAATCGCTTTGAAATTATTTGGACGAATGAAACGCCTCCACCGAAAACCGCGTCGTTCAACGAGTAGCCACGAAGACAACTTTTTGATGTAAACTCACTCAATAAATTAAATGAATTACAATGCATTGTGCGTGTAATAGAACGCGTACTCTATTATCAGGGTAATATGCTTGAGGAGCTGAGTCCACGACGGATTCAATTATTAATAATTGATGTTCAAAGGAGCACTGATTATTCCAGTATTGAAATAACAAACTGTTTGTCAAGGTTTAATTCTGTCGAATGTGTCTATTTAATTAAGGGTGTGCCGTTGCTACTCAGTAGCTTAGGCTCCAGATTTCGCTACTTTTCCAGAGGCGAAAAGGGTTGGCGTCAGGAACATACAAAAAATTTCGACAAATTTTGCGTGGGCGGCGACTCGGCTGCTGAATGTCCGGTCAGCCGAATCCAGGCTTCTGATTGGTTGAAAATTTTCCACGCAAAATTTGTCGAGATTTTTTTGTTCGTTCCTGATACCTCCACGTCAAAACCCCAAGATATTGGGGGTCCTGGGGGTGTAGTCCCCAAGTTAGGGGTAAGGGATAGGGGTATCTTCATTAATAACCCCCTAGTAAGAAAGAAAACTATACTTTTCTGAATTTTTTATCAAAAATTTATTCATTACATAGAAGAAAATTTTTGCAAAATCTTTATTCTGAGAAACGACCATAATA